TTTGCTCTACTGTAAAAAAAAAACAAAAAACGGATTCATTAATAGTTGAAGGAGTTTTTTTAAAAAGGCAATAAACAAAACACATGGGTTAAATGTCAGAGTAGCCTGGAACACTAGCAGTAGCCGATTTCTCCTGGGATTAACACCTATAGAAATAGTGGTGACTTCACAATGGTGAATACTTGTTAATTTCATGGCACTGAGTAAGAGGAACAGATGGGCAGTCAGAGAGAGAGAAGATACTTTTTTTAAAAAAACCATAGACATCATTCACTGATCAGGCAGAAGAGTCCGTCGATGGTACACTGCAAGGGGGTAATGTCCTTGGTGCTCTTAAGCTTTGCTGGAACTCTGCGACTTTGGTGCAAGTCTCATCACCTGCTACTCAGGATGGGGACCCTGTGCCCACCAGCAGAGCTGTAGGGTGCTGTCTGGTGCCTGAGATGGGCTATAGCGCCCTCTGCTATGTGCTGTTTTCATTTGGGGGTAGCTCCCTGGAGTCTGCCAGCCCGTTAAGAATGTAAACACGTCGTTATAAGACACAGCAAGTATGTGTGTTAAGGGAAGCTCCTGAAAGCAGGGGCTCTGGATAAAGTCAGTTGCCTGGGTGGGAAGCTTTCCACTACCAGTAACCAGTGGTATGACCTAAGACAAAATAATTTCTATCTCAAGTTACCTGGTCTGTAAAATGGGGATAATAATAATTGTGCCTTACTGTGGGCTTGTTTTGAGTTTTAAATGAGTTGTATGCAAAGCTCTGACTGGCAAAAAAAAAAGTGCTCTGTAAACATCAGTTGTTATTATTATTAATAATATTTGTGGATAATATTGAAAACATTCATGTAAAGAGCACTGATTAAACTCTATGAATGAGCCAGGCCAGGGTTGGCCTGTGGGTGTATACTATACACATGTCAAAGTAGCTGTGCATTTATTGCTTCATGCTCTGTATTTTTTAAAGTAAAACTGACTAGAACCAGCTATGCTGTCAGTACATGTATTGCTAGCTTTCAAGAATCATTTTCTTGGTAGAGACTGGCCTCCTCTAAAGCAGCTGGAGCTGGTGTGATTCTGGAGTTATAGGATTTGGGTTCTCTCAGTAAGTCTGTGGCCCTTAGCTGTCGAGCAGAGGGCAGGTGTAGGTTGGTCCAGGGCAGCTGAGAAGAGGTGGGCTGTTTCTTTTATAAAAAAGTCAAAGTCCAGAGCAAGCCCGTCCATGACCGCCACCATGCTATAAAGCATTTATTTTCATTCACCCACTTAGCAAATAATTTGTTTCTATGACCCTGTAGGGGGAAAAAAAAAAAGTAATTTGGGGACAAGAATATTTGCTGTCCCCAAAAGCCAGCCCGGCACTCCCAAGCTTCACCTCAGGTCTTGTGGATCTAAAAACTCTTAATTGTATCGTGGAGGCTCTTACCCCGTATGGAGTCCTGCACGCTTCCCCCAGTACTTTTAACATCTGGTGTTCAGTTTATTTGCTCATTGAATGTGGGACAAAATCATGGCCCCACTGAGATGTCAGACACAGTTACCCTAAGCAGGAACCAAAGGCTCATCTCCCACTGTCAATTCCTGTCACTAGTGTTTGCTCCCAGAACCCACAGGTGAGCAGGAAAGGCGAGTGCCATTTACAGGTGCCCAGGGTGATGGGTATTCACGCGATCAAGTTGACGGGCCTAGCTCTTGACACCAAGGGCATATATGTGGGCATCTTTGTATCCAGCAGTCACTGATTATTCCACAATGTATTAGGCATTACTGCCCCCGGGTGGGTACTGAGGCAGAGAGCGATGGATCGGACATGGTCCTGCCATTGAAGGCTCTCCAACTCAGTATAAGAATAAGCCGGCTAAAGTACAAAGAACACAATGATGCCTTCCATACGAGAAGGTCAGAGAAGGAGCTCAGAGGTGAGACTAACAGAGGTATTCAAACTTGATACACCCCACCTGTAAAAGAATGAAACTAGAACACTTTCTAACACCATACACAAAAATAAACTCAAAATGGATTAAAGATCTAAATGTAAGACCAGAAACCCCCAGTACTTTTAACATCTGGTGTCCAGTTTATTTGCTCACTGCATGTGGGACAAAATCATGGCCCCACTGAGATGTCAGACACAGTTACCCTAAGCAGGAACCAAAGGCTCGTCTCCCACTGTAAATTCCTGTCACTAGTGTTTGCTCCCAGAACCCACAGGTGAGCAGGAAAGGTGAGTGCCATTTACAGGTGCCCAGGGTGATGGGTATTCACGCGATCAAGTTGACGGGCCTAGCTCTTGACACCAAGGGCGTATATGTGGGCATCTTTGTGTCCAGCAGTCACTGATTATTCCACAATGTATTAGGCATTACTGCCCCCGGGTGGGTACTGAGGCAGAGAGCAATGGATCGGACATGGTCCTGCCATTGAAGGCTCTCCAACTCAGTATAAGAATAAGCTGGCTAAAGTACAAAGAACACAATGATGCCTTCCATACGAGAAGGTCAGAGAAGGAGCTCAGAGGTGAGACTAACAGAGGTATTCAAACTTGATACTTAAGGGGTTGGTGGGATTTACCTAACCATACCTGAAATATCAGTGCACTTGCCTTCTGAGGAACAAAAGGCTTTTTCTTTTGATCAGATTCTACTTAGAGCTTCAGTTTGTGTGAGCAGACTATTAGGTACTAGTCTGTTCTAAATATGTAATTCTCAGAATTTGCTGGGGACGGGCATGTGCCTCTCTGGGTTCTGAGAGCAGCTCAAAGAATGGAGAAAATAGACCCGATTTGGGGATGACTTATTGTCAGTTCCCGGAACCTCTGCCTTTATTTAAAACAGCCTGTTCAATGTGAGTTCTCTCTGTCTAAAAGGCCTTTGGGATTTGAAAGCTTTTCTGGAAATAAATGCCTTTTAGGTTTAAATGCTTTTTGCCAAAATTGTTAGGAAGGAAAGATCATAGTAACAAGTCTTAGAACAGAGGCAGTGTTGTTTTGTTCCTTTTAATGAAATGCCCCAGACCTACCTCAAGTTCTGTCGGTTTCTGTCAGCTCTCTGCTGGGCTATTATTTTGATAAGGGACTTGAAAGCACATCCTTCCTTCACCGTCATTAAAGTCTTAGCACTTGGGTCAGTTGTGGAAACACTTCTGTGCTACACTGAGATTCCTCAAATCAAAATAGTCCCCACCCTGGCTCCAGGCAGAGGACCTCATCAGTTCATGGAAGGTGGCATCGGGCTCTGACAGGAGCAGGAGGTCAGGAGCCACAAAACAGGCTGGATGAAGTCACCCACCCCATTCGGGGAGGTGGAGAGAGGCGAGCCCTGCCTGCCAGTCTGGCAACTCCAGCCAAGTCCTCGGAGCTCATCCCACACACCCCGTGCTAGTCACTGCTGTGTGTTTACATGAGTAATGGAGCTGCCGGGGGAGGGGAGTTGTAAGCAGAGCGCTGAGCCTCGCAGCTCGCATTCGGAGGGAAGCTGACATCCACACCAAGTCGAGTGGAGACTTCCAGGGACGTGGGGCCGGGGAGCAGTCACATGCTGTAGCTTTCATGAGCACAGACATCATCAAGCAGATGTTTGCCGACTGGAATGGGTAATCGCTGCTTTCTCTTTGCTTGATTTTCTGTTTGTGAGTTTGTATCCCTTTGGTAATTCCAGGGTCGCTTTCTGAGATGGGCTTTCAGACAGACATTGTGGAGAGCAGATTTGGGAAGCAGGGAGTCTTGAGTCCCAAAACCACTTTTGAAACTTTTGCTTAATTTGAAAGGCAGCTCTGATTTATTGTGCTTTGTCAACAGCAAGACTGTTATCCACAGTAGAAAATCAAATTAGTGGAATTAATTGTGTTTGTAAGATGAGTATCATGTACAGTGTCCTAAAACCACTGGCTAACTGCATGACATAAGTAAGATTAACAACAATTAAGAGGGTTGGAGTTGTTCAGATTTCACATGGCCATAATCATACCTTAAAGCAATAAAAAAAAAAGTGTGGTACCTTGAAAGGGCCTAAAGAGATTGCTTGGGGGTGTAACTGGTTAGTTTGAAATTCCTCAAGGGCTAGTCGGTTAGTTGGTTTGTTTTAATTTTGCTTGACTGGGTAACTGATGAAGTTAAATGTGAAAACTGATGCCGGAGAGTCAGAGCAGCATTCAATAAACAGCAGCCTTTTTTTTTTTTTTTCCTCCTTCTTTTATGGATCTTAAAGGGATTCAACCTCAGCATCCAAGATGAAATATAACTTTGGTTTGTGTCCTGTCTGTGGCTTTTAAAAAGTATAATCTCCATGGAATCAGGCTAACTCCAGTATGCTCTTTGGAAGTTATTTTAAATAACCCTCAAGATCTCCATTTTTCATATATATATATATATATATATAGAAAAGAAAAAGAGCGTACTGACTTAAATGTACCTGCCAGATTCGCTGAGATCTGAAACATGTTGTTTGCAATACTGTTAGTAAATACATTTAGTAATATTTTTCAGATTATTGTGAATGCCTCTGTCTACAGCTCTCCCTTATTTGTATCATACTTTGAGAAAATGCTTACCTTTCCACTTTTGAAGAGAGAGGTTTTCAAATGTTACATTACTATGATGCCATAATGGGCTGGCATATTATCACTTGGGTTTCTGAAAACAAGATACAAAACAAAACACAAAGAATGAGCCTGGCTCAGGGCTGTCTCAAGCCCAGTGTATTTCTTGTGTAACAACAGGGAAGCGCGTTATCCTTATCTTATCATCGTTCTTTAAAGCCGAGGGCTTCATTTTATTTACATTAATTAGACATGTTCCAGTGTAACAGGTTAGCTTTGGGAAACATGTCCAGAAGGGCAGAGGCTACGCAGCCCTTCAGAGAGGGACGTCTGAAAGGAGGCTTGGCTACCGCAGATGTGTACATTTCTCAGAACAAGTAGAGGGTGCTGCTCGAGTGAGTGTCTCAGTTTTTAATAAGAAAACCCACGCAAATGAAAATGCCTCTCAATTGTTCTCCATTTGTTTTCAGCGCCAAATCTTAAAGGCAGACCACGCAAAAAGAAGTCATGCCCACAGAGAAGAGACTCTTTCAGTGGTGGTAAAGATCCCAACAACAATTCCGATGGCAAATCCGTTGCCAAGGTACAGTCATTTGGCTCCCCAGTATTCGTTGGTATTCGTTTTTGCTGCATCTTTTTATTTTTCCCTTTTTCTCTCTGCGCCTGTGTCTTGGTGGCAGTTTTCAATTCAGAATCTGACTTTGGTATTCACAACCCTCTGCTGTGACTGTTCCCGCCACCCCCCTCCCCCGGCGGGGGTTTAGGGGGGAGCTGGGGGAGGGGGCAGTGCAGGCATTTTGATTAGTCAACAGAAAGACTTCCCACCTCCCGGCTCGGCGGGTTGGGTAAAGGACAGATGATTAAGCGCCCACGTCATTGAGACTGAGATTTCATAGTAGGTGACACAATGACATAGTTTACTCTGCTGGTATCAAAAATAGACTGGATGAACCATCCTCTTTCTGAATGTATTCATCTAAATATGCTTCAGAGATGAAAACTGGATGGAATTAGAAATGGCTAGAATGAATCTTTTTTTCAAGTTATTTTTTTTTCCAAATCACCTCTAATTGACCTTAGGATTAAAGACACATAGCCCAGTCCTTACATGTATACATATACTTGTATACAGATTTATATGTTTTTAAAGATCATATGTAATGCAGAATGGAAGTCCAAATTCTAGACTCTCTTTTAGGACCTGGGGCCGTTTTGCCTTAGCATTCTTAGGAATCTTGAAAGTGCATGCCTGAAGAATTTAGCACCGCGAAGGGTGAAGTGTCACTTCATATTTTTAGGCTTATCTTTTTTACTTTTGTGGGCCTGGATCGTATTTCCATGATTCCGTTTACGGGGTGTTTGCGTTTAGGTGTTGTTTCTGTGCCAAAGACAGCAATAGCCCCTTTAGGACCTGAATTGAAGCCCAGAATTCAACTGACACCACATTTCCAGATCCAAGGAATAAACTTATGAAAATGGGAGCATTTTTAGTGAATCTAGAAGATCCTGATGTGGAAAACCATGACTTCAGTTCTATGTTGGCAGTCGACTGTTTTTCTGCCATGCCCTCCACTTCTCTTCCAGTGTAAAGAAGCAAATCACAGACATTCACATTCTGTATCTTATCTTCAAGCATGACTGTTTCATCAGGAAGTTCTGAGGACTTTCAAAATTGCAAAGGGTTAAAAAGATCACATAGTAGAAATGTATATTTTCTGGCTAAAAACAAATCTGTTTTTGCCTAAAGTTATTTTTGTTCTATTCCTTTGACCTTCTGCGAGTGAGTCCATGTGGATACCAAGGGTAACATTTTCTGGTAATTTGGACATCTTGGCCCTACAACTACCTATCCAGGACTTTGGCTTCTGTGATCTTGAAGGATATCAGCGGGAACAGTTTATTCCCTATGATGTGGCTTGCAAGATACTGCAGGATGGAGCGGAGAGAGATCATAGCCCTCAGCAGAGCTTGTACTGACAACGTCTCCTGTTGGAGCCCTGCCCCATACCTCTAAGGTGATGTCATGTGTTTATCCCAGCATGTTCTGCACCTGAGCCCAGCAGGATGAAGCTCCTTCTCGAGTCATTTGCAGCCACCACCACAGTGTGCCTCTGGGGCTTTTATAGAACTCAAACAATTGACCTGAAGGAACAGTACCTCTCCTTCCTTGGAAGGCAGCTCCGGACTCATACTGGGACCCATAAAACTGAAGAGAACTGGAGACTGTATTTGCTGCTCACCTCCTTCTTAGGAGGAATGGTAGTCTAGCCTGGGTTTTCTAAGTGATCCTTTCTACCTACTCTGCACCAGCACTGCCATTCAGCATCCTTACAAGGAGGAGGATCACCCTTCCATCACAGATGTCAGTGGTGAGTGGAAGAACGTCACTCTGTCGTCAGCTCCCAGGGACCAGTCTGAATGCCTTGCTCTTCTTGGGAGTCTTGGATTACAGTCCTGCCTTGGCTGCTTCCACTGGGTCTGGAAAGACCACTTCACCTAGCAGAGAGAGACTGGTAGCTATGAAGTATGGCAGGCTTCTGTTGTCACTGACAAATGGATGCAAAGTCCCTGCAGAATAAACACATCACATCTGGGGCCAGGACAACCATGCAAAAGGCTTGTGTGTCTTAGAGTGGTCTCTTCTCAGGAAATACTACAGGAGAGGTTACAAGCCTGTGACCATCTGATCATTTGCTGAACTGGAAGCAACATTGCAGGTGACAGTTGGGCTTTTTAACCAAGACCTGTGTGGCTGTTTTTTTTCAGAAGTGCCTCAAACAGACCACTTCTAACTGTGGATAAGTACCAGCTTTCTGCAGCTCCATGCAGCAAAGCACTCTTAGAGTAAGAACCCACTCAGTTTGTTGTCTGCATGACTGGAAAAGCAGGTCAAGTTAATTTGCCTGTCGCCATCCAGAATTTGCCCTCTTTCAGTGAGACCATGGAAACTAGTTTTGCAAGACTCTGTTTTCCAGGGGACAGAGAATGTCATGGCTTTACAATGACAGCCTCATGGAGAAGAGGCTACCAGTTCTCTGAAGATGACAAGAACATGTCCTACCCAAATCCAGGTCTGGGGCAAAAAACTTATTCACATGGTGACTTATATAAGAGAAGTCTTCTTAGCCTGGCTCTCAAATGAAAGGCCTCCGCTGATACAAGACAAATGACTTTTCACATCCTGTAAGCACTTTGCAATGGCCAGAAGTACACAACAGGTGGCTTACATTCTAAAAGGACCGTTGGAAAGGGAAACTGCAGTATGTTCTTTCATCGAAATCACAAACATACTTTCACTATTTCACAAATGTGATGCTTTCATTATTTTCAGTATTTTTCATCCCACTTGGTCCTAAGAACTTACCCCTGGGATTATCCTTCTTGCTTTCCTGAGGAGGAAAATGAGGATTTCCGAGGAAGTTAGTGACCAAATAGAAATTAGACTCTCGTTCCTTTCCTGCTGGTTCAGCACATCCTGCTGCCTCGGTTGAAGACTGGATTAGTTACAACTCAATCCAGTGAAAGGATGTGGTTAATATCAAATAGGTGGTGGTTCACTGCAAATGTTAAATGTGGATCCTTTAATTAGCACTTCCTCAATCACTTTGGAAACCCCAAAGCTCTTAGTGAACTCGACAAGTGTAAGGCGCTCAGGTCAGGAAAAACAGACTATAGTAATTACCTGTTACCATCAAAAGCTTGGGCTTTCTTGAGGTCAACATGAAGACTAGCTCCCATGTAACATTTCAGTAGCTTAAAATGCTGAGAAGGTTTCCAGTAAGTGTGAAGAATTGTACAAAGGAACTTGACCTGGTCCTACCCAGAAACAGAATTATCCTCTAGAGGGCTCATGTATGTTGAGAAATGCATGCAGCTAGTCTATGAAGAGAAACTACTGTTTGTATCTTAGGAACCCCCCCAGGCCCAAAAAGGAGCTCCTTGAGGCTTAGGTGCAACTCAGAAGGCGGCAGCCAGGCTACACCAGGAGCCTTTGCTGCCGCCAGGGGCTCTGGTGGTTTTGGGCTGGGTTCCGTGTGCTCCGCAGCTTCCTTTTGTTCCTGGTTGTTTCTGCATGGCAGAGGCAGCTCCCTAGACACTGAGGGGCAGAGTTCATACTCCCTTAACTTGTGGCCTATTATCACTGCAGACTTAAGAGTCAGCCTGATTTTATATGCAAAGCTGACATCAACTGCTGTTTTTAAAGGGTTTAGAGTGAGGAGATCTGAGTTCTAGACTCCAAGTTCTACCTGACACTAGCCACACGCCAAAATACATCACCTCGCTGAGCTTCAGTTTCCTCCTCTGTAAAATGGGACTCGGATCCTTGTATGAAGCCCACAGCGCTGTTCCCAGCTCACTGTGGCTGCTGCATTCACACTGATTTCCTTCCCTTTGCTCTGCACACAACAGAAGGAATGGAGCCCTTTACACTCTGGAAACCACCTAGCTTTATCTTCTACTTCTCACTTGGTAAATCACATTTCTAAGCTATAGGTTTTGTAATGCTTAGTAATAAGACACACTTTTTAATTGGAAGTATGTTTTGACTCATTGGAAAAGACCCTGATGCTGGGAAAGATTGAGGGCAGGAGGAGAAGAGGGCGACAGAGGATGAGATAGTTGGATGGCATCATCGACTCAGTAGACATGAGTTTGAACAAACTCTAGGAGACAGTGAAGGACAGGGAAGACTGGTGTGCTGCAGTCCATGGGGTTGCAAAGAGTCAGACATGACTGAGCAACTGAACAATAACAACATCTTGACTATCAATTTAATATTTTTATGAGAGCCAGTAAAAGATAGTGTTTAAAACCACAAGTCCTTGAGTGACACTGCCATGCTGTGCCGTGCTGAGTCACTTCAGTCGTGTCTGACTCTTTGCAACCCCATGGACTGTAGCCCACCAGGCTCCTCTGTCCATGGGATTCTCCAGGCAAGAATACCAGAGTGGGTTGAGACTACTAGGGTTCAAATCCCTAACTCACTACTTACTAACCTGAATGCTGGACGTGATCCTATGGTCTTGGGCATGTTACTCTTCCTCTCGTACCTCAGTTTCCCCATCTATAACCTGCCCTGTTAGGGTCATGAGCATGAAAGGAGATAACACCAAAAAAGGGCTTATAATAGAGCCGGACTACACAGTAAGCACTCAGAAAAGGCCAGGAAGCAATACCGATTAGAACTGGAGTGATTTTTATGATTTCAAAGAGCTGTTAAGTTATAGATTTCATCAGAACTTTAGACTCAACAATCTAAAATTTGGCAGTGAAAAATGATGACAACATAAAGTTTCCCAGGATGCTCGCCTTAATCTAATGTTTCAAAGTACTAAAGTTTGAAAATAACTGTAAATAGAAATCCTACATGAGAAAATGTTTTCATCCCATTTCCACTGGTCTTTAAAAATGAGAATCTTATCTAGAGGCCTGGTTGAATGAGTTGTGCAGGAAGTTTTATTTCTTTATTTTTTTCAGGACCCGTGTAGATATTAAACTCGTGTGTTCATGTGAGAGAATGAGCAATAAAGAAAACCCTTGTAGGGGAGATGTTTCCCTTTAATAAATAAGCATAGCCTTTTATGTTCTTAGTGCTTGCAAAGGAGAATCTGAATGGAAAGACAGAGAGGGGTCAGGAATCTGAAATGGAAAACCTTGTCGACTGTGTGGGACATGTTAATTCACCACATTTCCCAGGCACCCGTCCTCTCCTCGACGATGTTAGGTCGGGAGATGTAAAGAATATTGGAACCTACTCGTTCCCCGTGGGCACACTTGAACTTAAAGCTTGACCCTTTGTACTTCCCCCTTTGACAGTTAAAACAGTTCAGCACCTTAGCATATTATTTAACAACCATCAAAGGCCTCTTGTAGAACATGGCAGTGAGGTGGGAACGTGGGGTTAGCTGCTCCATGTGGCCCATTTACCACCATTTATTTTTTAATTCTGAAGCTTTTCACTTACTCCTCCTGGGTTTTTACTTGACCTCTACTTTTTCCTTTGTGGCCACTTAACATCTACGAGATTTTCAGAGCTGACTGAAAAGCTAGGCACCCTCGTTAAAGAGTGGGGTGTCTGGTTTCCTATTGAGGGTGTGTCTGGGCATCACGCTCGGGTGACGGATGGCAGAGACTTTGCTGGTGCTCCCGACATCAGCCAGCATTGGCCTGTTTTTCCAGGTTGCTGGGAAGAGTTGCAACAAGATCAGTTTGCTATGAAGAAATGCACTTGCCTTTCATCTTGATCCAAAGTGCAGAACCTGGGACTCTTAGTAAGAATGCAGGATTCCTTCCATGATGACAGTAACCACTGGTACCCCTTAGGAAAATAAAGTGTATAAAGAGACAGGAGAGTGGTCCCAGCAGATGTAAACACTGTTTCTGGTTTCACATCAACATGCTGGTAAGGAGTCTAAAAGAGGCTGGCATAGTTTGGCACACCATGGCCCACTGGCCACCTGTTTCTATAAATAAGATGTTATTGGAACACAGCCTCATCCGTTTGTTTACATATTATGTGTGATGGCTCTCGTGTCTAGCATTGAGTAGTTGTGACCAAGGTTCTGGTACCCCCAAAGCCTACCAGAGTTTCCGGCCCTTCTCAGAAATTTAGCACCCGTGGTCTGTGATGCTCTAGGAGCTATTTCAGGGCCAGGATAGTTTCCTGGTCCCCCCCCCTTCCCACTCAGTGGACAATATCTCTAGCTATGTCCCTGTAGGAATCCCAGAGCTGTGCTGGATTTGACGTGGCCTTTTTTTTTTTTCCTCCCTTTTCCAGGTGAAATGTGAGGCTAGGTCAGCCTTGAACAAACCGAAGAATAACCATAATAATTGTAAAAAAGTCTCCAATGAAGAAAAACCAAAGGTTGCCGTTGGTGAAGAGTGCAGGGCCGACGAGCAGGCCTTCCTGGTGGCACTTTATAAATACATGAAAGAAAGAAAGACGCCAATAGAGCGAATACCCTATTTAGGTTTTAAACAGAGTAAGTATACTTGTTTTCATTTCTGAAATATCAAAGCTACTCAGATTCTTTGAATTGGGGGTTGGAAATTTTTGACTCAGGCTTATGTTGAAATCCTCTACTGGGGATGATACTCTGTTTATACTAAATCTACAAATCATCCAGGCCAGGAATTTCTTCCCCCTGCCTCTTTCTGCTACATTGTTCCCTTCTGGGGCAGTTGCAGTGAGATATTTATAGGCTTGAATCCTCTGATTATGACTGGAAATAGATATGTTGAAAGTTCCTCATTTTCTGTTTTGTCAATCTTGAGTGTCTGTAACGCCTTTCTTCTGAGATAATAACATGACGTAGTTTTATCAGGCACAGATGTTGCCTGTGAAAAGACGGCTTTTAAAAGGAGGACATTTAAAGATGGACAAAACAACCACAAAGAAAAGACATATTTCCTAAGCCCCAAATTTGTTAAGAGATAACAAAGACCTGATGACTTCAGAGAAAACAAGAAATACACAAATTTGCACTGAGGGCCCAATTTTGAATTACTTTGACATGTACATGTAAGCGTCATCATGTATTTTAGAGTAGAACAGGGAACTCATGGCTGAGCAGAATTCCATATAAAAAGAGAAGAAACCCAGACCCTGTCCTGATGTCACAACCATGTATATATTTTACCTCTGTCTGGATTTTGTGGCACACAAAATGATGAGCCCCTGGTTTGAAACAGTATTTTCTCCAATGTATCTTCCTAGATTAAAAGCGTCATCATGTATTTTAGAGTAGAACAGGGAACTCATGGCTGAGCAGAATTCCATATAAAAAGAGAAGAAACCCAGACCCTGTCCTGATGTCACAACCACGTATATATTTTACCTCTGTCTGGATTTTGTGGCACACAAAATGATGAGCCCCTGGTTTGAAACAGTATTTTCTCCAATGTATCTTCCTAGATTAAAACCATGTGTCATTCTGATGAAGAATGTCAAACCTGTATGTTTTACATAACAATTTACATACCTAATGGCAGTTGGCACTGATTGCGGGAGAGCACGCGCATCCATTACAAACTTACGTAACTACGAATGATTGCAGTGTTTGTCTGAAAACTGGCTGCTGGAAATAGAAGTAAAATTAATGTACTATGAACAGCTTTGTTGCATTATGCATTGGTTCAGATTACATCAAGGCTGAGGCAGGCCTCTTGATAGCTTTGAAATAGTGCAAGGTTCAATGAGGCTTTTCGAACGTGTTGTGTCAAAGAGCAGTTTTTTGTTTTGTTTTGTTTTAATTTTATTCTTCATTTCCTTTACCAAAGAATTACTTGAAGTTCAATTTTCCCATCTTATGAAAGAATCAAATCCACAGCAGTCCCATTTCATGATATTTAGTACAAATGAACAGGGTTACCAGTAATTTGGCATAGATGATTAAGAGCATAAACATATGCATGCCCTGTGAAGAGAAATTTGTTTTTAAAAATACATATTTGCACCATCACACAGACAAGTAAGTTAGGGGACTAGGTGGGCACAGGCCTCAGTTCCTTTGGGAAGGAACTTTTCCTTTGATTTGTTGTATCACTGCACCCTCAAGGGTGACTTACTTATTTGCCTGCTCAGCGCAAAGCACCATGTGATAGTGAAATACGCTATGAGCTTGTAATATAGTGCTGCCATCAGAAATTCTGTTAAGGTAATCATATATTAAAGTGACTGGTATTTATTGATTATGGAGAGTTCTTCTCTGAAGGAGACATTACATATTACTATTTAATCAATGGCTTCTTTCTAAGGGTCCCACAAGACAACCCCTGTTTTGAAATCCCACGCTTTTCTCAAGGAGGCTGTAATGTAGCTTCCTTTGGTCTGCTGATGGCGACAGGACTAAAAATTGTGTTCTCCTTTATCCTAAAAGTAGAACCGTTTCCGGATTTGTGACTGTTTCTTAAGAAATATTTTAAGTGGTACTAATATACCCTATTGTTGAATACCCTTTGGTAAATTGTTTCCTAAGACCTTAGCTCTCTGGGTTATGTTAATATTTCTTTTTATTTCTCTTTCTCATTGAAAAAACAAAACAAAATGTTTTAATTGACATTTCTTGGAAATATGTTAATGCAATGCTTATCTAAATACTTATTGTCCCTCTAACAGTTAACCTTTGGACTATGTTTCAAGCTGCTCAAAAACTGGGAGGATATGAAACAGTAAGTGTTTAAGCAACTTAAATGAAATAATTTTGCAATCTAACTCCCCCTACCCCCACCCTGCTCTGACCAAAATGGAGAAAATGCAAACATAACCGTCACTGACTGCCTTTTCAAATGGCAATACACTTTTGGGGGTTTATTGGGCCGCTTTTGGAAGCAGTCCCAATTAGTTCCAGGTTTGGCAAAATTGTAAACTTGTCGTAAAAACTACAAGTGGAAAACATATGTAACTCTCCCCTGTCAGGGAAATTAGTTAGGTCTGTAATTTTTTCCCATGTTGAGAAAGGGCTATTATTGTACAACAAGCCAAGATTGCATAAAAGAAATTTCCCTTGGCAACATACCTGACATCTGTTCATGTCTAATATGGGAAATGTATTAAAGGCTTTCAAAAGTAATCAGTATTGGCCATTAAGGAATAGAATGCAGCAGAATCTCCTCTCATTCTAGAGCAGAGAAGCTTTATTAGACAAGGGTCAGTGCTGCATAAACAGGAAGTTATCAAACTTACTCAGAACAGGCTCTGACACTCTTTATCAGCTAATTCTAACTGACAGGAATGGGTTATTTTTAGCTTACAGGAAAATTTGATGGCCACGGATTTTTACAGCATGAATTTTGAACCGATAAAATGTTAGAGCAACAGACTCAGATTAGAATCTTGAAAAGAAGAAGAAAGAGCTGCACTAATATAGCATACAGAGATGACATCTGTAATAAAATCAAGTGACATAGGAAGATGTCGTCATTGGAAAGATTTTCTCCTCCACATAGTGATCAGATTGAGTTGTTCAGTTTCTTCTACAATTGAAGACATTTTTTTTTTCCTTACAGAGTAACCCGGGGTATATCTCTGTATCAAAGTAAGATGCCAGAGACAGAAAGTCAAGAAAACGAAACTCATTTTAACCCAAAATAATAACTAGTGTTTCTTGCCAGATACAGCATTTTATTCCACAAACTAATATGAGGGTTTGATGTCAGGGGCTTGGGATGGGAAAAGATGGTGAGCAATATGTGAGTCAGATAATCTGGTGTTAATTAATGTATTAATTAATCTGGTGTTAATTTGTAATTAATAACCTGGTATTAATTCTAAGAATTCTTTGTGAGTCTATATGCATGTAAAATGTTTATTATATAGGCAATACATTTTTATAAGGAAATCAGATACTTATATGAACTATATTTAAACATGTATTTCATAGACATAATTTGCTTAAAATTTCTGTTTTACTGAGTGCCCTACTGAAAAATAAATAATGTAGTTTCTCACTTGGATCTGTTGATAAGGCAGGGAGATTTGCTCCTTCCCACTGTGGCTCATAGTTTTGTAAAGTCTTGAGCTAATTATAGCTTTCATGCATGTGAAAAAGATGATAACTTATTCAGTGTTAGTCTCATAAATTTAGCAGTCCACCCCATAGCCTAGACTTTTAAGTATAACCTTTAATGTTCAGAATAGGAATACACATTCTTATGAACTCTGACTGCAGATAGTTACATGATATTGCACAACATTATGAAATGTCTTTTCAAACCCAGGAATTTTTTTGTTACTCACTGATAGGGAGAGAGCCAGCAAATTTCACTGAATCAGTTTTTCCTGCTTTTGTATCTTATGTATTTGCACCAGGATTTTTTTTTAACAAGCAACAGCAGACTGGTATAGAAAATATAAAAGAAACTTCTGATGACTTTCAAGGCATTTGCAATACTCTTTGAACAAACAGTGATTATTCCTTTGTTGAATGAATGATTGAATGATCACACAATCAGCAGATCACCTGACTACATATTTACTGAGTATAATATGTAGTGTTAGACACTCTGGGGGACATAAAAATATCTAGGCTAGGGGTTCCAGTTGCTTACCACTTAGGAAAGGCATCAGTTGTAAGACAGGGTGGGAGAAGATCAGTTGCGCTGTTTGGGTAAAGTACTTCCTCATTTAGAGGAAGAAAGACTTCTATATAGGTCTGAGGCCACTTGAGCAGAATATTGGAGAACAGATGGAATTTAGATGTGAAAGATTATGGTCTTCTAAGAATGAGACAATCAAATGGGGAAACAAACTATGTAGGTAGAATGAAGTTTGGTATAGCAAGTTTGAATAACTTAGAGTCACTAGGTGGTTGGGATAAATGACCATGAAGGGGAATTCAGAGGGAAAGATGGAGCCTAGGGAAGGAGGTCCTTGGATGCTGGCAGTGAGGGGTTAGGATCATGAAGACTGACAGCAAGTTAAGTGTTATGTTTTGCCACCTATATTGCCTGCACTGTATTGTGCTAGACAGAGTGGAGAGAGAGACTTTGCTGGGAGACATGGAAGACCAGATTGGCATCTGCTTTCCACCTGGTTATGTGCATCACATCTCTTGAGCCAAGTCACAAAGAGGACTGGTGACCTGTGGGGCTGTCCTTGTCCTCCTTCCCTCTCTACTTCACCCTTCAGCTCCTTCATCCTTTGTTGGGTCCCTGCACTCTTCACAATATGCCACATTTTTCCATCTCATCTCAAGCAGTGAATCTGTGAGACTATCTCAATATAAAATCTGTATTTGAGGCCATAAACTGAATGAAACCAACCAGTGGGATTTTTTTCCCTTCCTTCTTTCCTTCTTTCCCTCCTTCCTTTCTAAAAACGGCCTCATACTACCTGTTGGCCCTGCAGGCACTTGAGTTTGCCACTCTGATTTTGCCTTTAAGCTTTTGAACCTCTGAAGTATAGAAAACATTTTTCTTTAGTATATTTTGACTAATATAATTGTGAGATGTTCAGTGAGGATTCAGTTTTGAAGTCAGTCCAGGAGATGTATTAATAATATCCAAAGTCTGAGGACTTAAGTTGTCATCACAGCCTTACTAGAGGATACTTATCTATGAGATCATCTGATATCAGAAGCAAGTGTAGACTTGTCATTTAGAGCTCAGAAGAGATCTTGGAATCTTCTAGATCAGTGGTTTCCAGAGACTACTCAAGAACTGCAGCTCAAATTTTCAATGGGGAATTTTAAAGTGAAAGTAGTTTTCTAGGTCTCTCATATATTAACTCTAGAGTGGGGCCTGGGCCTGAGAATTTGAGAATCTTTAAAAAAAAAAAAAAAAAAAAAACTGCCCAGATTCTGTTAATTCAAAGCTAATGGTAACAATGATTATTATTAAATTTCAGGACTCCTAGCTTCAAAATGTGGCCCCCATCTAAGTATCAAAGATTAGAAGATTGTCTTCAGGCTATTACTAAATAAACACAATAAACATGCCAGAATATTAACATTCCTTGGCTCAAAAGCAGCACAAAGTTTCCAACTATTATTTTTCCATTTGGTAAAGTGGCAATCTAAATTGGGACTAGATGAGCTATTTTCATTTTGAATAAGGAAAAGTGTAGCCCCCTCACATTTTTATTTTTCATGAATTGGCCTTTGTGCAGAAAAAGATCCTTGACCTGCTCCATATATGGAAACTGAGGCACAAGGAGATGAAATGAGTTGAATGGGGTCATCCTGGCATTCTTCAAATTCTGAACTGCTGAGAATTTCATGCACAATTATCTCAACCTCTGTAACATCATCACTAGGAGGAAGAGATTTATAAATTCTTTGTGCCTTGCATTCTCAGCAGTCTCTTATGTACATTTTTATGTATTGGGGGTGATGCTTTGGAGAAAGAAAAGATCTAATAACCTACCTTCATTCATTTCTTCCTTTCAGTTATTTCTACCTTTTAGTCATTTCTTTGAACTTAACATGAACCTCATCTAATATACCAACTAACTAGTTGAGATTTTCTGATTCTTGAGAAAAATGTGTGACCTTAGAAGACAGGTCAAGAAGTCTGGAAAATGTAAATACTCAGTAATAGTAAAAGCTTTCAAGTTTAAAATCTGTAGATGTATTTCTTCTGCTGTTAACTTGTGATTGGATAAAGAGATCTCTCTGGAATTCCTTCTGGTTATAAGAAGAGGCCATGTTAATTGGCTTGTTTTTGTTTGTGGTTATAAACTATTCCAAACCTTCTGGTTTGAATTGTGGATTATGGATTATTTCATTTTAGTCCTTCACAACCCTCAAATTGATTTTTTTTTTTTAAAGAAAAGAGCAGAAGTTCTATTTTAAGCCTTTATAGCTTTCAACTAATAGCTATGTTCTGTTCTCTTGGCCTCTTCTGCTTTTGCTAGAAATATATATCGTGTCTCTGCATCCCTAGGTTTAGAGATCATAAACTTATTGAATGGATTTGATTTCCTAAAAAACATCATCTTGGCATTTTGATTGGTTGGCAATGAGACCTCTTCTTTAACAGTCATATATCTGATTTCCCCTTCCAAACATTTAAGAGTCTGGGTCACCTACAGTGGAGGAGGCAGAACTGAATAAAGTTTTGCTGATGAGCTAAGAAGGTCTTCACTTCAGTGTCTGGTGAAGTAGTTAAGGCTTGCAGGGTAGCTTGGGGTATTACCAGGATGCAGCATGTTGACTGTGGTTTGCTAAAGTGATTTCCATTTGGCTGAACATTTGATGGTAAGCCAGAGGCAATATTTGGAGAGAGGTAGAATTGGGAAATGGGTTGAGTAAATCTTATCCTAGAGGCAGAGGACCACGCAAGAGCAAGTGTGTTGCCTTCTAAGAATGCCAGCTCTCTGTCCCGCCTCTCCCCAGGGCTGAGACAGGACCACTATTTCACAACTGGAAGAAGCCACTTGTCTTCTTGCTGGAAGGATTAGGCCTTGACATCAGATTCTGGCTTTGACATCATTTCAAGACATCCTCTGAATCTAACCCTAGTTCTCTGGACAGATGAAGCCTCTTGCTCAATTCAAAATTCTCGAGGCCAAAGATGATGTCATGTAGCTTTGAAAGGTTCCAGTTCCTGGAGTACTACCAGGAAAAAAAAGTCATCTTCCTTGAATTCAGTCCGCCCTCAAGGTGTCCTGAGAAAAAAGACTGTTTCTTACAACAGCCCGGGCAACACTGCTCACAGACAAACTCTCCTTCTGACTTCCTAAACATACCCTGCACACTCATACAAGTCATGCAGTAGTGGAAACACTGCTGTCCTGAAAGATTTCCGATGACTGTTTCCTCACCAGGCCACAGAATACCAAAATTATTTCATCCTAGTGACTCCAACGGTAGGAAAATCAAGGCTCCAAGACTCTTTTGGGTTAAAATATTTTTCCAGTTTTTTTAAGTGACAGAACATTTTCATCAAATAAAATTAGAGGAAGGATAGAGTCCTTTCCTACTCACTGGGTCCATTTTCTTCTCAAGGACTGGCATTGTTGAGAGTTAGTTTCAGGCCACTTTTGAAACACCACCTGAATTCTAAAGAGAGTTTAAAAACCACTTTCCAGTCTGCCCTCTATATCTGTGGGTTCCACATCTGAAAATTCAACCAATCTTTGATCAGAAAAAAAAAAAAATTAATCCCAGAAATTTATAAAAAGCAAAACTTGAATTTGTCAAGCACTGGCAACTATTTATACAGCATTTACATGGTATTTTGTGTTATAGCTAATCTAGAGATGATTTAAAGTACATAGAAGGATGTACATAGGTTATATGCAAATTTTATATGAGACTTGAGCATTCATGAATTTTGGTATCCACGGGGAGGGGGCGGTCCTTGGAAACAGAGGGGTGGCTATTTATAAAGAATGAAAACTTTGTGAACATGACAGGTGTAGAGTGCTTTTCACAGTTTCTTGGGTCTTATCCACACTAAGGAGGGAAGTAACCATCAAGTGTCTTCATATGTACATAGACTGACTTTCTTGGGTGTAGTCTGCTTGGTTTTTCATCTTGCTTTATGGTTAAATCATATGGGATTATGATTCCTGCCAGACTGTGAACCCTTTAAAGCAGTAACCTTTCTTTCTTTTTATGCTGTTTCCCACCCTCAACCATCCAGCCTCTCCTTCCGCCTCCAAGCCTCTGTACCTAGCACAGGCCCTAGAACAGTAGCAGCAAAAGACACGCTCTCAGGAATCCCTCCTGTCTACGTGAGGCCCTTGCGGGGGACAGGGGAGCACAGTGGAAGGGAAGTCACCGCGTGGATGGTGTTTTTCTTTAGGAAGTAGAGAGCCGGAGTCCTTGGCATCCTTCAAAACCTAAAATAATGGGTCAGGTTGAAACATGAACATGACCGGGAAGCCTGAGGCTTTGTGAGACAGTTGATCAAACTGACTCTGCAGCTAGATCAAACTTTCCAGTCAAATGGGGCTGGGGGCCAGATACCAGGAGGCAGATGCTGCTCCTACCCTAGATGGGTTTAAAGCTTACACACATGCAGGCAGGACAACAGAATAAGAACCCTGAGCAAATGCACACCTGGGCACGACGAAAGCACATGTTAGAGCAGAAGGCAGACGCACACAGGTGGGAGCACGGCGCCCAGGGCTGTCCTGGACGGAGGGCTCTGTGACCCCCTGTAGGTTTGGACAAGGTGAGGATTGAGACATTTCATGCTGTAGAGCCTATGGTCAGTATTTGAATTAAAAGTGCATCTGGGCACAAAAAAAAAAAAAAAAGGAGATGTATACCCAGGAGACCTATGTACTTAAAAGCTTTTAGCAGTTGGAAAGAGCACATTTTATGACTTTCCTGTGGAAAGAAAATATCTCAAAATGGACTGATTCATCTAGGCTGGCCAGTGGAACCTCAGTAAACAGAGAGCCCAGTTCCTTGAAGGCCTGGCCCTTGTCTTTTCTCCACTGGTTTAAAAAAAAAAAAAAAACAACTGTATTTAAACAGCAGAATCTGCTAGTCGGGGGCTAACACAGACCTCTAGGCAGCTGCACAGGGCATTATTGCCGAATGGTGGCTGATGCTGGCTTCCTGCTGCCACAGTTTCAGTCCTACTGTGAGGAAGACTTTGTTTTTGTTCCTTTTGATAATTCATTATTTATTCTCAAAGAAGTATTGTCATTTCTGTGATAGGCAAGTGTTTAACAGGGCATACCTCAGTTTGGATGATAGATTGTGGGTGGGGAGCATGGCCAGTTTCCACACATTACATATCCCTGTCAGCAGTGGTTTCTTGTTCACTATATTTTTCACAATCAGTATTCCTTTGTTTATATATTTGGTCGTGTGTTGATGTTTGAAATCTGCCACTAAGATGCAGGCATCTCAGGTGTTGGGTTTGCACTGTGGCCACCCAGCTGCTGGCACGGTACCCAACAAATGGGAGATGTTCAATAAATGTTTGGTGAGTTAATGCATGGGTGAATAGACAGAGTCTGATAAAATTGGGACGTATCTATGATTTAATGGTGAATCTCTGTTCATAGAGGCACAAGTGGGCAGGGTGGCAGCAACCACAGCTCTAACATACTTTAAGAGAGTAACATCTCAGAGAGCTATTAACCCAACCCCCTCCCTTAGATTCTTGCTGACCTCCTAGCTGTGCTATTTTCCCACTAGTGAGAGTTTCAGAATTTGTAGCAAAAGCAATGGGGCCCACAGTTATCTCTCTCCTTTGAAGCAAAAGGTCCCTGGAGTCCTGTATTATCACCGTGCTACACCATTCACCAGGTTATTCTGATATGGAGGCTGCTTTGATGTAGTGGAGAAAAAGTCTGCTCTTGGGACCGTAAGACGTCAGTAAGAGTCTGGCATTCCCAATCTGCTGCTGTGTGTCCTTAGGCAAATTATGCAACCTCTCTGAGACTTGTTTCCTTTGTCTGTAAATGAGATTCCTATAGGCTGCCTCACAGGCTGATAGGAAGATTAAATGACATTGTGGATATGAAAACTCTTTACAAAATAGAAAATACAGTGCACACCAGAGATACAAGAATGACAAAAGCAATGATTTCTTCTAAAGTGACTACAGGAACACAGATAGTCTTGTTTTCTAGCCTTGTGGGGCTCCCCAGAGCTGACACCTCATCTGAGAGAGGGAAATATGGAGATTTGTTTCAAGGGCGTCTGTGTTCTAAGAGCGTTGAGGAATCATGTAGATACTTGGAAGAAGGGTATCCTGTTTCTTCTGTACACCAGTCTAGAATAGACCAACCTGTAACTGTATTATTTAAAAGGTTGGAGGGAGACTGTAATTAAATATAAAATAATTACCAAAATGTGTATTTTGAGTATTTTTAAAGGGCCTTGAAAACATTTATTATTATAATCTAAACCAAGCTACAAATACAGGATTTTTACTTATACCTGCCAGTAGATTTAAGAGGTGGTTCAGTCTAATGAGAACTATTGAAACAAATTGATTTAAGAATGCTTCATGGGAAAGTGAACAATGCACGACTCACATTGTCTCGAGGTCCTACTTGGGCCTGTTAAGAAGGGCTTATGGAAATGAAGGGGTTCTTTTTATTTGAAATGGGTACCACTTAACCTATAATATTTAACCACCCTTTTCCTCCTTAGTTCACAATTATGGAGCCCCTGGTTACACACTGAGGTTTTTTTTTTTTTTTTTTCCACGCCTCTAGCCCTAAGTGAACTCCGCGGTCAGCTCTGCGGGTGTTTTTCAAAAGATGCCTCCTGTTCTGATTGTTTAAATTCCACCTTCACCTCTGCCACGCCCAGCTCCCTACACATTCCAATAACGAGAGTTTTCTCGGAACCCTGTTTGGAAATGTTCACAAGGATCTCAGAACTTACTCTATCCCTCCAGTTTCAAGGAAACATTGGATTGCTCATATGTAGTAGATGACGTGGTTTCCCCAAAGTAATCATTTGCCAGATCATACATCTGTTATTTTGTTAAAATCTTAATTTATATATAGAAATAAAATTAAAGAAAAACAAGACCATAGTATGCCTTTCAGTATATTACAAGCTGTTTGTTTTTATTCACCCAACTAAGTGAAATACGGACCTTACATTTTAACTTTGGAATATGTTAATTTTCATATGGTTTCATCAATATCCCATTTTCCTGACCTGAGTGAAGAAAAATAAACAGCTTGTGACTTAAGACAGTTTAACATTTCGGTTTTGTCCTGGTGGTTAGCACAGCTGGCATGAAAATATAGCCTGAGAGGACTAGAAATTTCATAACCAACTTGATCATTTTAATTAATTTGTATAGTAATTTAAGTAGGCAACACATCACAATAGTTCAAAACTCAGAAGATACAGAAGTATGTTTTATGGAAATTCTGTGTTTGCCTGTGTACTCAGCCACCCATTACCATATCCCTCAAGTAACCAGTGTTAATTCTGATTCATTTAAATGGATATACTAAGACATATTTTAGCTTAAATCTATATTTTGATGCTTTAATCACATTACATAAAGGAACAGAGTATGCATTTGGGACCTTGGGGGCAAATAGCTACATGAATATCCAGGGAGATATCTTTGATAAAAATGCTGTAAGGGTGACAAAATACAGAGCCCAAAGCAGAATTCCATTTTTATTGTGAAGAAGAGTGCTAAAAGTGAGATCTTACTGGAAGCCCCTGAGTCTCCCCATAGACCCATTTGGACTTCTCTGTTTCTGGGTTTCCAGGACAGACTGTTGTTCTCTTCTGACTGTTGCTTATGTATTGAATCCTGGCACTGCGAATCTCTTATGATGCAAGATTGAATTTCTCATTGCCACTTTTTCAGATAACAGCCCGCCGTCAGTGGAAACATATTTATGATGAGTTAGGTGGTAATCCTGGGAGCACCAGCGCTGCCACTTGTACCCGCAGGCATTATGAAAGGTAAGACACCCTTTCCTGGAAAGTCGTAGCTTAATGAAAAGTGTGTTAATTCAAAGTTAACTGGTCAAGCATAAGACCTTTGAGGAAACAGGAAATATCCCTGGCATTTTACATTGCATAGTGCCTTGTGATTTTTAGGGGACCTGGCTTTCTCTGGTTACAGGAGCTAATAGAATTAGATGTCTTCTAGTTCGGTTTTGTCCTATAACCCTGTCTGACAATACTGATACTTCCCCCACCCCCACCACAAGCATGGATTATTCAGTATGTACTCTGTACTCCGTAGGTTCATTCACTATGAGAACTTTCAGCTTCTGGAAAACAGGTCTGCGGTATTACTGTGGGGTTGCCATGTAACTGTATTAGCATAGAAATGTATTAATGTTGAAAGTACTAATACTGAACAGTAAGTATTTCTTTAATAAGAAACTCGGTCCTAGATAAGATCTGTTGTCTTTTTTCCCCACCTTGGTGTTTTTCTTCTGTGCTTTTGACCCAGGAAATCCTTTCTTGCCAAGCTCTGTGTAGTTTGGTTTTCTAATAATTTCAGCTTCTTTCAGAAAGGTGATGATGATAATGCAAATAAGAAACAATGCCAAATTAGCGTACTATGAGGGTTGTATCCATGGGAATTTTCCCCTTTGCATTAGGACTGTGTGCCCCACAAACTGAAGACCAGTTAGGATAAATCATTTGTTATCATTGGTCTGTGTTTTCAATCCATACTTGTTTAGGTCATACCGACTTCCTTATCGCTGGCATATCCCTGCAGGAGTCCGGACAAACTCAGCTTCTTGGTTTCACATTCAGAGCTTGTGAGATCCAAGTAGAGGTGTCTGTGTGTGTTTTTCATAATGGCCATGGATGGGATGAAGTTAAGACATAGTCAGCTGAGCAAATGGGCCATATAGCTTGCTCCTTTGAAAAGTACAACGCAAGTACTAAATTGATGGTTGCTCTTCACATCATCAGTTACCATCCCAGCTTCAACCCACATGCTTAATACCCATCTTTGGATTACACAAATGCATCTTCAGATAATGTCACCTCACACACAAACTCTTGGTTGTATTTTGAGTCCAATTATATTTGTATCTGCACTGTACTTTTCAGAGTCCCTTTACATATGGCCATTCAGTGAAACTTACTTTTTATAGGTATAATCATAGTAAATTAAGTTGGGTTTAGAACCCTATGAAAAAGCCTCACAAAGTATTCCCAAGAAACTGCTTTATTTGACAATGTTATAATCCAGAAAGATTTTTTTAAAAATTGATAATGGAAATTCAAATTACTATTCTTCATGGCATTGTGGCAGTATACTGCATTGAATTTTTTTTTTAAGTGAGTGTATTTCTCTCAGTATTTAATACAAAAGACCATACTCTCACTGTTGGTAGCGGGTACAACACTGAAGTTCTAGTACAAAAAGGCACTGGCATCTGGGGTGAGTGTTCTGTAAGTAGCATCTGAAATATCAGAGTCCTCTTGTTTGGATTATGAGTCAAAGCTTTAATCAAAATGTTTTCATTAGAAACACTGTCTCTATTTTCAAACAGTTCTATTATGATAGTGAACCTCCCTTAGCTTCATGTGCAAATGTCCCCAACATGTGACCCATCCTACTTAAAGAATCAGATGGTGATTAAAATTTGAGAAAGGAGTGTTATCTCAGCTGTGAGCTAGCTCACCTCATTGGAGTAAAAAAGTAATCAAATGTATCACAAAGTGTCACATGGTCAAAAAACAGATAAGGTTTGGGATAGAAAAAGGCTTGGATTTAATAGCAGCAGGTACATGTGTATGGTTGTGTGTTTAATTTACTCAAGCAGTTGTGTGTATAAAAATAGCTTCAATCTTAAATGCCAAGATACGTTCTTTTGAAGGTTGTGTACTTTGTTTTATGATTTACCTCTTCCTGGAGTAGCAGAATCCCACATGCCTGCAGTCAGTCAAAATGGAAAATTCTAATAGAAGTATCTCCAACTTCAGCAACTAAAAAGCATTATTAAAGATTTTTAGAGATTTTTCTTCTCTCATTCTTGGGAGCAGAATTCATAAAGCTTTGGTCTCTCACTGGAATAAATTTTTTGAAAAGCTATGTCAGTCACTCTTCCAAATCTAGAATTTTCTTTGGTCATTGTATCAGTCAGGATCCAGAAGGAAAATAACAAAGAGAACTGACTATAGGGAATTGCCTAAACAAGTGTTGGTGTGAAGCACTCACACAGAGGCACTAACCATAGGTTTCCTAGGATTGAGAGAATGAGGAGCTGACGCTATCACCACCCAGAAGTTGGGACAGTGGTTCCAACGGGAACCACAGGGGTTCAGATCCCTCACCGGTAGAGGCACCCAGTGAGTGCTGGTGCTCCAGGAACTCAAGGCGGGCACTGTGGAGCTGGATGCGGGTGGCTGGTGCCAGACCATCTCAGAGGGCACTGTTCAGGGATAGTTGAAAGAAGCGAGAGGCTGGAACCGGCAGCTGCGACTAAGTTCCTGCTGGCTTGGCACTGAAAGGAAGGGCAAGCAAAATGGGAGGCAGTCCCTTCTCCCTTGCCCTGGCCTGCTAGGGCCATTTGCAGAACCCCAATAGGAGGATGGCTGACAAAAGAGAATTGGAATTTGTGTTGTCCCAATCGCAATGTCACCAAGCAGAGCGCAGGAGAGTGGGTTTGGAGCTGAGAGACAGCAGTCAACTATGTGGGTGGGGGTGGCACATGGCACCCCAACATAGAAATTGCTGTGCAGAACCTGAAACCCAGGTTCGAGCACAGCTGTTGCAGGGTGATTAGCAAGGTCATCATCCCGGTTCCTGGCATTTTCTTTTCTTTAATTTTTATTTTATATTGGAGTATGGTTGACTTACAAAGTTGTTAGTTCCTGGTGTACAGCTAAGTGGTTCAGTTAAACATATACATATGTCCATTCTTTTTCAGATTTTTTTCCCATATAGGTTACTACAGTATATTGAGTAGAGTTCCTTATGCCATACAGTAGGTCCATTTGACTATCTATTTTATATATAGTAGTATGTATAATTTAATCCCATACTCCTAATTTATCCCTTCTCCCCCAGTTCCCTTTAAAACCGTAAGTTTCTTTTTTAAATCTGTGTCTGTTTTGTAAGTAAGTTCATTCATATAATTTTTTAAAAATTCTATTCATAAGTGATATGCCCTTTTTCTGATTCACTTAGTGTGGTGTAATCTCTAGGTCCATTCATGTTGCTGCAAATGGTATTATTTCAGTCTTTCTATGGCTGAGTAATATCCCATTGCATGTATGTACCACGTTTTCTTTATCCATTCCTCTGTGGATGGACATTTAGGTAGCTTCCAGGTCTTCACTATTGTAACAGTGCTGCAATGAACATTGGGGGTGCATGTATCTTTTCAAATCACGGTTTTCTCCAGATACATGCCCAGGAGCAGGATTACTGGATCATATGGTAGTTCTTAGTTTTTAAAGGAACCTCCATACCATTGTCTGTAGTGGCTGCACCAGTTTACATTTCCACCAACAGGTGGGAGAGTTCCCTTTTCTCCTGACTCTCTCCAGTATTTGCCGTTTGTAGACTTTTTTGATGATGGCATTCTGACTGGTATGAAGTGATACCTCACTGTAGTTTTGATTTGCATTTCTCTAATAATGAGTGGTTTTGAGTATCTTTTCATTTGCCTTTTGGCCATCTTTATGTCTTCTTTGGAGAAATGTCTATTTAGATCTTATGCACTTTTTTTTATTGAGTTATTATTTTCATGTAGAGCTGCATGAGCTATTTGTATATTTTGGACATTAATCCCTTGTCAATCACTTCGTTTGCAAATATTTTCTCCCATTCTGTGGGTTGTCTTTTCTGTTTTATGGTTTCTTTTGCTGTACAAAAGCTTTTAAGTTTAATTAGGTTCCATTTGTTTATCTTTGTCTTTAATTTCATTACTCTAGGAGGTGAATCTGAAAAGATATTGCTGTGATTTATGTCAAGGTGTGTTCTGCCTATGTTTTCCTTAAAGAGTTTTATAGTAGGCATTTCCTTTCACCATCTATGTTTTGCATTGTTGTGGTCGCTATAAGGGGTGTCATGAATAATTAATCATTTATAATAGTTTAAATCAATCATCTGCAAATTTTGGTAGGGTTTTTTTTTTTTTTTAAATTCAGACTGTGCTTCCCATAATGCCACTCTCACTCATTTGAACTATGTTCTCAAAGGAATCATCCATACTCCTGTGTTTTGTGGTGGGGAGAAATGTCTGGGAATTGCTGCTCTAGATGTCTTTTTTTTTTTATGTTTCTGACAAAGAAGGGAAGAATACACCCAGATCTGTCCCAGAACCTGAACCATTTATGCTTAGGTCAAAGAAAAGCCTGAAGCTCTTGGCTACAACTGTGTTGGGTGATACTGGCAGATTTCATTCACTGTTACTAGTTATAGGCTGTGCTCACACAATTAAGACAGAAATGACTAGGTTGGGGAAAGCCCATCGCATTCAAGAAGGCTCAAGGAGTTTTAAAGGGCCAGGATTTGGTGAGCAAACATCTAGTCTGGAGATGCCCTTACAGTCTGGTTGGAGTTTGTGCTCTGTGGCCAGTTTACTTGGTCTCTCATTTTCACTCTCATACAGAGACTGGCTCCTCCTTCTGTTTCCCTGCCACCAACTTTGCTTTCCTAGAAGATGGAGAAGTAGTGAGTGGTTACTGTGCATTATCCACTGATTTATTTTTCACGCAGTGTGGTTCATGTTTCCAGTAAATGTTTTCTTTTTTCAACAAGAAAAAAGTAGCTGGTTCCTCAGTAAATGTTACTTGTATATTAGTTGGACACATTTGATTTATTAATGAGTGTAATAATGAAAGTACAGGTTGCTGAAAAGAATCAGTGTTTTTATTTAAGGCATAGCAGAAATGGTACAATGCCTGTGAATGCATCATTGTCGCTGAAGGCCTGACTTGTCCAAAACTTGCCTCTGATTGGTTTAAATAAAGTAGGTCCAAGCACTTCATAAAAATGTCTTTGTCAGCCTGGTTTTGCTTCCAAACCTATTCATCTCTGTCAGTTTTTAATATTAGTAACAGGTTCCTGGCCACAGTCCATTAGTACTGTACTTAATTGCTCGTGTTACAGATGATCACCAATATAAAAAGCATTAATGTTTCCCCATCGAAAGACTTGCTGTGTAGATATCTCAGCTCAGAAAAGCTTATGAAGTGTGGTTATTCTGGACACTTCTTGTTCAGGATTTATAGATAAAGATACTGCAGATTACAATGCAAAGAAAAAGACACCCACAGGAAGTGTCTTCCAGTGCAAGACACTTCTAGGCAGAACATTTTGTTTCTTGTCCAACTCTTTAAGATGCCCCACATCAGTTTCTTTTATTGGTAAGGCAACAAGAAAGGAAAATGGTTACCTTAACAGAGTTCTCTTAGCTTGATTTTCTGGCGCAGTAATTCATTTTAAAGGCTGTTTTCACATGCAGATTTGTTTTCTTTTTCTTTTAATGTTTTTTAAGCATCACATGCAAGGAGGAAAAAGTCTTTACACAGAATACCAGATTACTGGTTTTAATTTTCCTGAATAAATTACGTGGTCTGTTTCTATGGAGCACATGAAGCTGTTACTAGGGATTTTAAAAGGAGCATTAAGACAGAAGTACTTTATGATGTGCTTTTCTGAGTACTTAGAAAATCAAAATCATAAACAAATGTATTTGTGGGGGAAATGAACAATTATGCCTCATCTTCTTGCATACGTAATGCCCAATTTCCAATTCTACCCTTTTGCTTTGCCCATAAGCATTCCTTGGGTGAGACTGTCATGCTTCTGGCTTCCTTTGCAGTTACTTGTTGGGGGACAGGGGATTGTGAGCTGCACCCAAGCCCCATGCATTTGGCCAGAGCCTGAGTGACAGTGAGCTGCATCTTCGGCCTTTTTCTCTCTGAAGGTGGAACCCAGGGTGTGGGAGGTTCACGTTTTGAGTTAAGAATGTGCTTTAAGTTAAAATGCCAAAAATACATCAGGTTCTAAGGAACTCAGCTAGTCATATTGTGGGAAAAAGCCAAGGGAAGGGGAGTTACAGTTCTGTTCATGTCTAGAATGAGATGTGGGGTATTCTTGCTCATTTTGATGCCCTTGAAGTTAATCAGTACACAGTTCCGAAGGCCACAGGCAGGCTGCACAGATCTGAGGCAGCCTCTAGCAATCCTCTAGACAGTGTTACTCAAGTGAGGTTCTCCTGTGAACAGGCAGCAATAAATAAGCATTGAGACACTTAGATAGCAATTTACCAGCATAATTTTGTGTGTGTCTAATTTTTTTAAAAAATGAGGCTATGCATTTTGTATGTGTTTTAAAATTTTCATTTCCTGCTAATTCTTTTCTATAGTGTTAGTCGCTCAGTCATGTCCAATTTTTTTGCAACCCAATGGACTGTGGCCCGCCAGGCTCCTCTGTCCATGTGATTCTCCAGGCAAGAATACTGGAGTGGGTTGCCATTCCCTTCTCCAGGGGATCTTCCCAACCCAGGGATCGAACCCAGGTCTCCTGCACTGCAGGCAGATTCTTTACCATCAGAGCTACAGGGAAGATCCAATTCCTTTCTATGGGATTTACAAATGTGTCAGTCAGAACAGGAAATCCAGGGTCACTGGAGCAGCGCTCCCCATCAGTGGTCACAGACTCACATGTTGATGGGGGCAGGTAGCACAGTGAACACAGGCGGCCCAGGCTGGGCAGCAGGAAACCGGCACACACAGCCCAGCCAGGGAAGCCCAGTGGGATCAGCCCCACTCACTGCCTTAGGAGGATGCAGTCTTGGTGCTTCCAGACCTTCCATGTCTTAGAGATAATTTTTATGTGAAATCACCCAACTTACAAATATTTGCTCCAGTATTTCTGAAAATATTCTACGTAAACTAAACACACCTGTAGGCGCAGTGTAGCCTGCAGGCTGCCCTGTTCTGCGAGGACTGAATGACTGCTGGCACTGAGCTCATCCAGTCTCTGCTTAGACGCCCTGCAATGGGAGGGCAGGGAAGACACTCTTCATCTGTACACTCTTCCTCAAACTGAACAAGATGCCTGTGGCTTCCCATCGACCCTACCTTACCTTCTGGGGCTGACTTGTTCCACATGCTCTGTTTTCTCGGTGATGGGTCTTCATACGCTTGGCAAAGCTCCTCTCACGTCAAGTTCTTCTGTTCCATTCATCCAAGCCTCAGAGCACAGTTTCTGGGCTTTGACCAGCTTGGCTTGCTCCCATGTAAACGCCTCACATTCATGTCACTCAGAAGATCCAACGCTCTTCCAGATGTTGCATATAGTATTTCTTGGGATGAGGACAGTGTCAGTCTATCAGCAGTGCCTAAGGTGACTTTTGAAATTGGTAAGAAGCCCTCTCCTATTGGCCAGTTTCTTTTTCTTGGGTGGGATAGATTTACCATTTGATTGACTGTCTTTTTCCTTTGCTACTGCCCTCAAGAGCCAATTGGTATTTTTTGAACGTCTACCAAGATTAGGGTGCAAACAATGAGGAGGTGCCCATGCTACCACATTCATGGAAGAGACTGTTAAGGGAACATGATGATGCTCCCCAAGAACCCAGGCTCAGCCTCAGAATTTTCAGTATGGCTGGCACCTCATTAGAACTGGGAGGTGCTGTGACCTTTGGCTCACCTATCTTATCATATGATCAAACTTCTAGTCCATACATACATGAAGAAGAGTTAAATACTTAAGGCTATAAAAACCTTATGTAAGTTTTCATAGATACAAATAAGTTCAGTGAAAGTGAAAGTCATTCAGTTGTGTCTGACTCTTTGCAGCCCCATGAACTTTACAGTCCATGGAATTCTCCAGGCCACAATACTGGATTGGGTAGCCTTTCCCTTCTCCAGGGGAATCTTCCCAACCAACCCAGGGATCAAACCCAGGTTTCCCGAATTGCAGACAGATTCTTTACCAGCTGAGTCACAAAGTGATAGAGATCAAAGAAAGAAGAGAATTTCCAAATGAAATGAGCAAAGTCTTTCAGGGGAACCTAGAATTTGAACTGAATTTTTTTTGTATTGAAGTATACTTGATTTACAGTGTTGTATTGGTTTCAGGTAGACAGCAGAGTGATTCAGTTATAAAAATACACATATTCATTCTTTTTCTCATATAGGTTATCTCAGAACATTGAGTCCCCTGTGCTATACAGTAGGTTCTTGTTGATTATATATTCTATATATAATAGTGTGTATATATGTTAATCCTAAACTCTTGATTTATCCCTCCCCACCATGTTTTCCTTTTGGTAACCATAAGTTGTTTTGGTACCTGTAAGTCTGTTTCTGTTTTGCAGATAAGTACATTTGCATCATTTAAAAAAATAGGTTCCACATTTAAGTAATATCATATGATTTTTGTTGTTCTCTGACTTACTTCACTCAGTATGATAATCTCTGGGTCTATGTATGATAAACTCTAGGTCTATGCATGTTGTTGCAAAAAATATTATTTCATTCTTTTTTATGGCTAATATTCCACTGTATACATGTACATCTTCTTTATCCATTCCTCTGTTGATGGACATTTAGGTTGCTTCCATGTCTTAGCTGCTGTAAATAGTGCTGCAATGAACATTGGGGTGCATGCATCTTTTCAAATATGATTTCTTCTGGGTGTATGCCCAGGAGTGGGATTGCTGGATCATATGGTAGTTCTATTTTTAGTCTTTTTAGGAACCTCCATATTGTTCTCCATAGTGGCTGTACCAATTTATAAACTGGATCTTAAAGTGATTAGGTTAGAATCTAAGGTAGATCACCATACACTGCTTAAAATAATTCAGTTGTAGAACTCAAAAACAATAAAGAAACTATATTTGAGGGCAAGGACCAGGTGGTATTAGCTTACCTTGAGACTTACCGGTGCACCCAATATAGCATCATGAACATATCAAGAATTAGGGGTTGAATGAATTAAATCCAAACAGAAAGGACAGTTTCCTCTAGGATATATGTACAAAGAAGTAGGGAATGAGGTGCTGGAAGGGGCTGTCAGTAGAGTTCTAAGGCTGAATTTCCAAGCTGGATGCACCAAAGGCAGGTATTACAGTTTATCTTCTCAGTGTCTGTTCAGTCTCTTACCTTGAGGTCCAGTAGGGAGAGCATGTGCCATCCTCATCCATGTAGGGTCAGCCAGTCTGTGGACTTGGCATCTTCTTTGTAAACACTGTCTTGGTAATGGAGGCTCTGGCCTAGGGGCACTCTGTTGGTAACACTTATGTACCACTACCACTCAGACACTCTCACCTCCCTTTTCCCCACACACACAGAAGGCCCTTATCGGTAACCAGCAACACCCCCCCACCACCACCACCAAATTGTTATAAGACAGAGTGTTGAGACATAAGCAGGCTAAGGTATTGCTGTTGCTTTTCCAACAATACCCCCTCAGGCTTGTTCTTATAAGGGACCTGAATTGGGTGGATGTAAGCCCTTATGCCTGGAGCAGCTTCTCATCAGTAAAGAATTTCTCCCCAAAGGACGGTCAGGTAGTTTCATAAGAGCACCTCTCTGTATCGCTCAACATGCCTAAAATGCTCTGATAACTTTCCAATGCCTGGATTTTTCAAGAAACTTTTAAAAAGGAAAACAAAACCGTAGCCAGGACCTGGAGTAGAAAAACTGGTTTCTGTTTTCAAAAAAATGAATAAATAAACAACAGCCGTTGAAAAATCTCTACTTAAAAATTCTTAAATTTGCCTCTAAATGCAAGTTGTAATTATTAGAAGTTGGAATTTACACTGTTGAGTGTAAAAACACCCTCAGGCACAAACTAATCAAGTGTGTATGTCATGCTATAAACTACAGCAAGTTCTTTGTTTGACCCAAAAAAGGCTTGCCAAACAGCAGTTTTTTCTTTGTCAAGTTCCTTTATTGTCTCATTTTTGTTTTCTTGCTACTCCCCCCACCCAACCTCCTTTGAACCCCACTGTAGTATTTAAGAAACTGCAGATTCCAGGTTATATTGATAGTTTTCATCAAGCATGAATTTAAATTTGAGAATAGATTAGGTGTCTTAGCCCTTTTTCTTTTTGATAAATAACAAGAGGTTTCTACTTATGATTTTCTGTCCTCGGGGCTTTATCATTAAGATTAAATAACTGTATTCTCAAGCATGCCACTGCACAAACATCTTTTCAATTATGTGAGTAACAGATGCCTTCACAAAGGAACTATTGAAAATTCAGAAAGCATGTTTCCAAAAAAGAAAGGGGGGAAAAAAAAGTATCAGATGACAGAAGAATGTAATTGTTTACCATTAAAATATATCCTTAACTCTTCCACTGAAAACCTCTTGGAACATTTTGTTTTCGTACAAGTTATTACAAAGTTGGATCAAAATGATACATGTTTGGGGAGATTGTTGAACATTTCAGAAGCTCTGAAGCCTGTGGTATCTCACTTACATGAAAGAATTCAGTGCAATGGTTGCTTATCTGCTTTTACATATGGACCCTGCCTGCTTTCATGAGGCGAGGTGATGCACATCATGTTGAAAATACTGTAGTTATATTTGTCTATTATTCTTGAAATAATGTTCATCTGCCCTTGAAACAGATCCATGCAACTTGATTCTGAGTCAGTCATTGTTTTTGAATCGAGAATTGTTACCACCTTTGCTGGGGCATCGTGGAAGCCTGAGTTGCTATTCACCATCCATGCCCTCTGTTGTGAGCACATATTTTAATCCCTGGGATGTAAAGTCAGCCTTTCTTAAATCCATGTCAGCTCTCTTCAATGTGGTCTTCGTTGGAAAGCTATGGGACTGACTAATGCCAGTCTAGACCCTCTGAGAAGAAGCAAGGAGGCACTGCAGGAGTGACGCTCGAGGAGCAGAGTCTAGCTGGGAGGCCGTGGGACCCTCAGACAGGGTATGAGCTCGGTGCTGCAGGCTGGGGTTCCTGGGAGACGTGCTTCCCGAGTTTCTCTTACCGTCCAACACCAGGTTGTGCCGGTGCATCCACCTTTTGGAGAGTCGTGGCTTGGTTATCCTGGCGTACTGCATGAGGAGCGGTGGCCGGTGCTCCAGCCGTAGGGTGCTCCCGTGGGACTGCCGTGACCCTCGGTGGAATGGCCACATGTCTGTTCTGTAGGTCTGCTGGCTCTGAGGAAAGGAGGGTGCTCACCCTGACTTTGCCTGAGGAGCTTGGACTTCCCGGAACCCAGGAGTGATCATTTTTATCTTCCCAGTGTGGGTGCTTCTCAGATAATGTCTGAAGATACACAGCTACCTTGCTGAGATGAAGACAGGTCAGAGAGGCAGATCGTAATTGAACTCAAATTTTGGCGCACAATAGCTATATGCTTTTCACTAGTGCTTTAATAGTTATTTCACACTTAACTTCATTTTCCTTCTCAACAAATTGATGATAAGGTATACAAAGTGCCTGGTGTTATTAGGAACTTAATACATGACCCAGCTGCTATTAATACTGTAATGCCTAATCAATAACTAAGACAACTAGAAGTTTCTTTCCCCACCCTCTGACCTCATCCCCTATGCCCACAGCCCGTGTAACTTCAGTTCAGGGACCTGTCATCCTGGACCTTCCTCTGTCACACTGACCCTCCTTCATGAGAGTCAAGCCACCGACTTGATGGATCCCAACACGTCTTTCCTTCCATTGCTTAGATGGGTTCACGGTCACTCCATGACTATTGGAAGGTATCAGAGTCATCAGTGGGCCTAAGAAACACCCCTCCTGCCACTTCCAGGGGCAAATGGAGACTATTAGTGTCTTCAAAAGGTCTTCTTCATCTTTGGCCTCCCCCTGAGTAAGAAATGAAGCCCCTGGGAAATTAATCATTCTCTTAAGGAAGTGATTTCTCTGAAGACAAGTGGCCATGTTTTGTTGTTAATAATAAGGGGCTGCATACCTTTTTGGTATCTTGGGGTAGAATATAAATGATGCTCTTTATACCTACTTCCTTTGCAAAGAACTCGGGACAGTTTACCCTTGGTAGTTCATGGCTTAAGCTAAGTCTTTTACACAGAACCTATGTAGTGTTCTCCCACCATTTTCTTTCCTCAAGTGGGTCCTGCCATTGACTTGTTCTCCATGGCCTACCTGTCAGTATGGCACCTCCTTCCACGGTTTGCTGTTGAAAGCTTTGAGTTCACGTCTTCATCTGTTGGAAGGTGACACCGAAGTCCTCTTTCTCATCTCTCTCTGTTACTGATACTTAGCTCCTCACACACTGCACACCAATTTTTTTCTGCTCCACTGAAACTCACACTGTGAAATGGTAGAGATCTTCATCCAGAGCCCACATTTGTCTTAGATGGAGCTTGGCTTATAAAAGGGCAGGAAAGAGCAGCAGAATTGCCATTATACTCAACCAGTGTTGTGTCCCCTGAGGAAACATTCCCACTTCTCCTCACCTTGACATAGCTCATTTGTGTATTAGACTTTAGTTTTGGTACCTAGCTTCCCCCCGCCCCAGCTAATGCTTTTTCTCCATTTTCAGAGTGATGGTCTGACACCTTGAGCTGGAGGTGAACAGTATGTGAGATTAGAACTTACCATATTTCCTGGAACCTTAACAAGTTTGTGTACTTTATCTTTAAAAAAGAAAAATATGAACACATGTAAATCCATGGCTGATTCATGTCAATGTATGGCAAAAACCACTACAATATTGTAAAGTAATTAGCCTCCAACTAACAAAAATAAATGAAAAAAATAAATAAATAAAAGTTGGANAAAGAAAAATATGCCTCGTTTTGGCTCCATATTTGGTGAAAGATTGCTTCCCACACTTCACAGCAAAGTTGTATATTTTCACTTTCTGGCTGAGAAGGGAAATGTCCGGCCAAACCTTAGAATTTATCAGCCCTGGAGTCAACTTGAAGTCAACTCCATTTGGGATCATATCAGGTCTGAAGCCCCAGTGGAACCAATGTATCATTTCTTTTCTACTGACATGGAAAAACGTACTGGTTATAGTTTTTTAGTATAGTAGTAGTAGCATTTGTGTCCTGATACATACACCAACATTTTTCCCTCTGCCCCTAAAATATTCTGCTCCAAGGGCACCGGTAGATCTCTAGGCCTGGAATTTTTGACTGATTTGATAGCAAAAAAGTGCCTATGAAGTAACTAGGCTGAGTCTGAGGTTCAAATGCCACCCTAAAGATTTGCTGCTTCTCCTACTCTTCAGACTGGATCAGTCGCAGACATTATTATAATATCATTTTTCAAAGCTCTGTAAATAGATAGATTCTCATTTCTCCTCTTAAACACTGTTTGCTAAATGTTTTGGCCCCAAAGTTCAGTCATCCCATGCAAGCATTAATCAATACAGGAGACATTAGTGGTCACTCATTCTGATGAGATCTGACATTATTCTTCCTCTGCCTATGAGGAGGGGAGGGGAATGTTGCTTAATAAAGATGAAGGTCTTTGCTTCTTTTGTATGAAATGCAAATGATGAGGACATGTGCAATATACATTTCTTGAATGTGAGGCTGCTGTTTTTTGTTGAGAAAGAGAGGCAAGGCCCTGGAGGATTTCAGAATTTGTAAATATAAAATTATCTGCCTTCGTGTTTTAAAATAATAATAAAAGGGAGAAAAAATTGGCAGGTTGCCAGATTACTTACATTACAGTAATAGATTTGCTGACCCTTGACTTCTGCTGTAGAGAAATGTATTGAATTTTTCATAATATCAGATGAGGCAGATCTAAAACCCTAGTACACTGAGCACCATTATTTAACTTGAGATTTAACAAAGCCGAAATCTTTTCAAACCAGCAATTTCTTGTATGATGATAATTTAGTGGCTCAGATGCTAATAAATCAAGGTTATAATGCCATTGATTTGTTAATTTTAACTTGGGTTGATTGTAAGTCATCTTTATTTAAGGGGAAAAAAAAGGAGAGGAAGGAAAAAAATCTTGCTTTTCACAGCGACTGAATTTAATAAGAATCTCCATGATAGCAAAAGCCTCCCCTACTGTTTCTGCTTTGGGGTGGAAAATGTTGTTCTTGTATTATTCCTAGGGAAAAATAAAATCTCATGCTGCTACAAATCTTATGCCTATGGAAAAATGTTATTTTTTTAATACATAGTGGCTTACCTATTTCAGATCCATTAATGGCATCGTAAATAAGCATTCTGCTAATCTGAAATGTGAAATCTGGGTAACAGTAGAGACCCATTTATCTGCCTAGCTTTCAATCCTCAGACTACATTAGATTGGGGGCAGAGGTGGGGGTGGGGAATCTCTCTGGATTGCCTAATGAATATATTGCTTCTCTTCCCTATTACTTCCACCCATCAAAAACCCAAACCACATTCTTAAGAGTTGCAGCCCATTGAAAATATTTCTCCTGTGTAATGAGTTCTCGGGGCTGAATGCATTTTTGCTTTTATCTGTACAGTTTAGAAGCTGATTAAATCTTCGTTGTGCTACAAATATTTGAGGAATAATCTTCCGCAAAGCACAGTCATGTTGCATGATACTAAATTCTTTATACAATACAATGCTTCCTGAGTTGGGCAGTATTGACCTTATGTTGGCTACCCTGTTTTTAATGGTATCGCATGTACATTAAATGTTTAAATGTTTAGAAACCTATACTAGCTTTCGTCCTCTTGTGCTGTAAAAACTTCTAATAATCAGGTAATAAGATCATATCCTGTGGAGTAATTGTGTTGTACCATGACAGGGTAACTGAAAAAACATTCAGTGAAAATCGCACCAAACGGAAATCACTGTATGAACAGCGATTGTTTGTGTGCTAGATGAGAGACCATGAGCTGTTCTTCAGGGTTTAGCTGGTCATATTTCTACTTGTTTCCTTTTAGCTGCTGCCTTTCTTGTTTTATTTTGGGAGCTTTTATTCCCTGAGCCACTATAATTATCTTTCAGTGATTTAGAAAGGAAAAAAGGAAAAAAAAACTCTCAATTGACCTTTATACACACACATACACACACACACACACACACTCTCCCTCTGGAAGCCTTGAACAAGCAGCGTTTGTGTTTGGATTCAGTTTTACCTTAGTCATGCCTCTTTCCAGATACAAGAAACATTTAATTCCAGATTTCCTGCTTCTGGCTTCAGGCCTTTGACCAGCAAAGTGAAATGTATTTTTTATTGCTGCCGTCCAGCCAGCTGCTGAGTTGAGTGAAGGGAAGAAAAAAAAGAAAGGGAAAAGAAATGAAATAGAAATGTTGCCCTGCCTCTTCAACTTGCAACGCTGTATAAGGAAATTAAAATCTCCCTAGCACCCATCTAGAAAGCTGGGTTGGCTCAGGACTCTCAGGACCTGTGGGAGCGTGGTGACTCTTAGAGGAACGGCCACGTCTGTTATTATTCTGTCGGTCTCTGCTTCCTCTCCTCTCCTTCCCCACCCTCAGGTAATGCTGAAGGGAGCCCTTCATGGTGTCACCATCTCAATTACAGAGTGGAGTTGTGGGGGAGAGGGTGGTACCAACAAACAATAACCACTGAAATACCCAGGCTTCAGTGCTCCTTGGGTTCCCATGGCAACCAAACAAAAGTAAAACAAACCTATCTGTCCTAACAATAAAAATATGTTTTCATTAAAGTCAATTTAACATATTCTTCCTAATTTAAAATATTCAATGCATTTTGCTCCTGGACAAAAATCTCCAACCTGCCGCTGTTGAAGGGAATGAAGTCCCTGGCAGAACTATGCAGATAAAAGCAATTAGGGGAATGTTGGGGACTTCACAGATGAGACGGAATACATTCAAGTATGAACAGGATTGCTTTTTTCTCTTTCTGCTTAGTTATGCTTTTTATTATATAAACATTAACTGTAATATTACAGTGGGAAGCAGGTATTTGGCAGCCACATATTATTTTAGTAAGTCTACATAGAGAGAACAGTTTCCAGTTTTAGCAGCTGTAACATGTTTAAACTCAGTTTGTAATGGGATCTGAAGATAACTATTCCCCATGGGCTGTGTTGATCTTCATGGCTGGCCCACTGCCAGCTGCAGGGCTCGAAACTATTATTCACGCCTTTTTGCACATACCTTGTCCGAGCATGCTCAGTAAATGAATTTTTTGTCTACTATGCTGTAAATTGGGATTTGACTTTCCCATAATTTACTGGGTATTTTATTAAAGAGTGAAATATTACGATCACAGATATCCCCAAGTTTGTACTCACAAACCTGAACAGTTGTATATGTTTAAATAGTTGAGATCCAAATTGCATAGTTAGAAACCAATATCAGAATAGCTAACAAATATTCAAACCAAAGAAGGTTTTGCCTGGGAGTCTTAGTTTAAAAATAATTAGGGTTCCCCATATTTGAACAGATTTATGTTGTTTATAAGCCAAGTACATTTTCTTCATTGAGTCAACTTGTCTTATTTAAAACAAATTATGTTTGCTGTATTAAAGTTCATATTTTTAAGGCTGAGTCTTGTATTAATCCCACAGTGAGTCATTAATCATACCAAATGCATTATAAAAACTTTAATCATTGAAGTTGAAACTGAGATTGTAATGCAATCCATCCCTTTTAATTACATCAGCTATTTTTCCCTTTCAGATCAAGCGCTATGTCGCAAAGGGAAAACAGATTAAAACTAGAGCTGTTTGATGTTTCTCTTTTTAGAGCAATTTTATGTACTTTGTTTTAAAAGTTATATAATTAAAATGCTTGAATTTTTCAGCCCTCTGATTTTTGTGGCTTGAATGTCTGTCCGCCTTCCTTCTCTCGGGGGCCCTCTTTAACTTGGCACCCCAAAACAGAGCTCCTGGTCCTGGAGTCCCCTTCCCACCTCGGGGCTCTGGCTAAGACAGCCGCCTCTCCACTATGCTGTGTTCGCCTCGCGTAACCTCTTTATCTTAAATGTCTGGTCTATATTTTGACATGAATGAAAACAAACTTTGGAGACAGACAGAACTAGGTTTAAATCCCACATCTAACAGATAGGGTAACTCAAGCCAATTATTTCATCTTTTTTGGGCCTTAGTTGCCTCATCTATTGAAAAAGGAATAACAACAACAACAGTAATACTAATACTCCATAGGGACATGTCCACATTGTGGATATTACATGAAATAACCTATATAATGTATCTGGGCCATTACCTCGCAGAATGTAAACCTCAGGGGCTTTGACGATTACTGTTTTGTTCACTGCTGTATCTTGGTTTCTAGACACTGCCTGACACATAGTCAGTACTCAGTAAAGAGCTGTTGACAGAATGGTAATGAATGGCAGCTATTGTTATAGTTGCTGTTATTGTGATGTTGCTATTAGAATTTGGCCAGGTTCCATGGACAGTGATAATGATGTGAATTTTGGATGTGTCCACTGGTATCCTCCGTGTACAGATTCGCAAGATGAGAAAGAGGTCTCTTAAACAAGTATGTAAGTTACCAGGTGCTGGTTTTGACCGGAAAAGATGAAGGCACTTGATAAATTGCTTGTACTGAGAAAAAACGTACACCCCCACAGCATCGACAACGCTACTGGCATTGCCAGCCCTGGCTGATCCTCTCTTCTGATGCCCTTTCAGGTTAATCCTGCCATATGAAAGGTTTATTAAAGGAGAGGAAGATAAGCCCCTGCCTCCAATCAAACCTCGGAAACAGGAGAACAATTCACAGGAAAACGAGAATAAGACAAAAGTATCAGGAGCCAAACGCATCAAACATGAAATCTCTAAGAGCAAGAAAGAAAAAGAGAATGCCCCAAAGCCCCAGGATGCCTCAGAGGTGAGTTGAGCTCCTCCACAGAAGTCTCTCCCTCTGGGTCTCCCGGAGCCTTGCACTCAGAGCCTCATCCCTGCCCAAGACAATGCCAGGCCGTGAACCCCAACCATCTGAACGTCACAGGTCCCCCAGGAGTGGGCCTTCTGGGGCAGTGTGAGTGTTGAATGGGATAGGCCAAGAGTAGGGTCTGGAAGGAAGCAAAAAAGGAAGCAAAACGGTGTAGAAAGCTCAGTGCAGAGGCCGACTTCGAGACAGAAGTCAGAGCTTCAGCTCTGAAAGCCAAGGGTCTCTGATGTGAAAAATGTGCCCTTTCACAGCCAGTCTGTCTGAGGAGTGGGTGTGACTTTAAAACACTCACCCGTGGGATCTGCCGTGTCTCTGCAGAACTGTTTGGGAAACTTCAGAGGCTTGTTTGCCTCTTGTAACTGACCTCTGTGCAACAGCCTTGGGTTGAGACCAATTTAGAAACATGTTAAGTACATATTATTTATAGGGGAATTTTGAAGTGGTTCCTCTGAAACCACGATTATCTCTCTTGTTAACAGGTAGTTTCTGAACCTTTTAAAATAAGTCCCAGCTACCCACAGCCCCCAGCAGCCCTTGGTAGAAGCCATTACTGTCAGTGTCCAGCCAGTCATAGGAGCTGATCTGGGCTCTGTTTCAACATGAATAATAAAAAAACTCTGCTGCCCATTAAAAAAAAAACCAAAAAACTTAGCAGCCACATTTGGAGACAGCATGTTCTAAGATTCAACCCCTGAGGGAATTTTGGTTCTGATATTAAACACCCCCTGAAAATCAGGTTTATAATGAACACATAAGAGACTCCCTAATTAAACATTGGCTTAAAACACACAACACACACCCCGGTCTCCTAAATAGAAATTAACTTACCCAACTTACTCCTGTGTAAGAAGATATTAACACCAAGAAGAGAAATTTGTTTTTTTCTTTCATAATTATTTTAAACTCTAATAATTTAAAGGGGGGGGGGAATGAGGCAGAGGTTTCTAAACATCTGCAAGTTTGCAATATAAATGGCCAAAAGCAAGGAAATTCCACGTTAAGACTTACATTCCATTCTTCCTTGATCTTGTTGGCCTGCTGATTTATTGCAGAGCTTGGGTTCAGTGCGTTCTGTTAGATACCATAGGCACAGCACTGCCGAAGCTCAAGAGGACAAACTGAGGACCCAGAGGCCAGTTGGCCTTTGAAGGGCTCCACTCGCATGAAGATTTGTGAGTTGAGGGAAGAATCCTCAGCCATGCCCTGAGCCCATCAGCTGGGGAAAGACCATTGTCAAGAGTCAAGCCTGATGCCCTGTGGGCCACAGAAACCCTGAAAGCCTTAAGACCCCCTGTTTCCTATAGGCCCCAACAGGTTGCCTCAGGAACTATGAGTATCTAAGTGACCAAGGTCATTATGATCAGGTTACCTAACTACCTGCAATCCTACACCCTCTCCAAGGTTGACCCAAAGGTAAGAATTGCACCTCTCACTTCCTACACAGACTCATATTATGGAGCAAAAGTATATTTCTTTTCATTGACTGTGTTTTGGAGTTTGAATTTTACTGTTTTTACTCTCATTGTTTTTAATTTTTGATATTTTCAATGTGAAGCAGTGAACTCAGTGGAATAAAAAACACTTCTAGTCAAACCCACTATCTTCAAGTAATCGGATTACAAGCTTTGTGGGGGAAGGTACCATACCAAGGCAAATCATAAAATGCCATCCTAGAAAAAGGGTCCTTAACTTTTTTTCTGCCTAGCTTTCAAAGACCTTCTATACCAAAAACTAGAACTTCATGCAACTCAAGGCCTAGGTCACACAAATACCAGTGGGACTGAGAATCCCCCACAGCCCCATAAGAATCTCATTTAACTCCAATTTGCCTCTTCCCCTTACCATTCTCATTTTTCTGTATTTTCATGTAATATATAAGCTCCAGAGACCAATGATGATTGTTAATGTAGAACAAATAATGATATTTGTACTGGAAAAGGCAGCTATTAGTACAAACACCAAAAAGGAAACGAGGATAAGCATCCTTAGAAAACAGGGATACCTTGAAGTGGATTTAAGGAGAAATCTCTATAAAATGGGTATGCTTCCTTAAAACTTTTGTTCCTATGCATCCCTCCACCAGCATCCTCAGTCTTGCCCAAAAATACTAAAGTGGTGGACACTTCTTTCCTTAACAACAAAGAGAAAAACATTCATGATTAAGATGGAGGGAGAGAAAAAAAACCAGCTTGATACAACTGTTTTGTGACTGTTCTCCACCCAGACATGTCAGGGCAGAATGATGGAAGTTTTGAAAGAACTTGCCAGCCAGCTGGGTCCCAGATGGAAAGTTAAGATGACCTTCTAAGGTCAAAGTTTGCAGAGCTACATAATGCAATGAATGAGTTGAACTGTGCCCACAACTTCTGTCAACAGGGACACATAAAGAGCATCCATCCCATTGATTACAATGTATTTCAATGGACAGAAAAGCTGTATTTGTGGTGGCATTCACTGCTTGAATTCTGACAACTTCATTTTCAGCTGTAATGGAAATGCAATTTGCTGCAGCCTAGAAGGCCTTGGAGTCCTTCTGTCCCTCAGGTAGACACTAGGCTGATTTTGCATCTGCATAATTTTTCAGTATTTTAGCCTTACCTATATGTCATCTGGTTCTGGGTATAAAATAAACACTTAAGCATCACTAATTTTATGCACCATAAAATTGAACATGTTAGGATGATACTTGCTCTCCTAAAGAAAAACAAGCGATTATAGTAAGTTTGTCGCTTGTTGTTGACATGGGGTTGGATTTTGAAAGATGCTTTAAAAAAATCTTTCTCCAAAGTGTCATAAAGCACAACATGTAATTTAAAACCCATTTGGATAATTGACTGATTTGACAAGAAGACAACCTCAGAATTAAACTGTATATTAGAATCAGGAAGGAGTGATATGATTGTACACCAGCAGCATGTAACACTGTGCTGTTTTGATAGGTATCTCTTAAGGGACTGAAGTGAATATGCATATTTCTCCTAATGCTTTCTGTAATTTAGATTTCTTTGTTTAGAGCCATGATTGGGGAGTAATAAAGCTTTACAGAAACTCGATGAGCTGACTGACAAGCCTGTTTTCAGAAAACTGCTGTGTGTAATATTTTATTTCATAGCATAAAGTGTCAATGCATGTGGCTTCCTTCTGACCATCTTTTGCAATATCTTACCAGGTTTCATCAGAGCAAGAGAAGGAACAAGAGACTGTAAACCAGAAAAGCATCACTGAGCCTCTCCCAATAGCAGACACAAAGAAAAAATTGGAAGGGTACCAGGATTTTGCAGCAAGGCCCTTGGTGTCCCAAGCAGACCCAGAAAAGGACAATGAAACAGATCAAGGTGCCAACAGTGAGAAGGTGGCAGAGGAGACAGGAGAGAAGGGGCCTGCCCCTCCACTGGCGAGTGCCCCTCTGGCCCCTGAAAGGGATCCGGCCCTGATTCCCGGGACTGGCAAACAGTCCCTTACCTCTCCCAGCACTCTCGTGGACTCAAAAGAACCCAAGCCCTGCTGTTTTACAGAGAGCCCTGAAAATGAGCTCCAAGAAGCATCCTTCCCTGGCTTCACCACGCAGCCCCCACTGGCAAACCAGAGTGAGGTGGAGGATGACAAGCTCCCTGCGATGGCAGATTACATTGCCAACTGCACCGTGAAGGTGGACCAGCTGGGCAGTGACGACATCCACAATGCACTCAAGCAGACCCCAAAGGTCCTTGTGGTCCAGTCGTTTGACATGTTCAAAGACAAAGACTTGACTGGGCCCATGAATGAGAACCATGGACTTAATTACACCCCGCTGCTTTACTCAAGGGGGAACCCAGGCATCATGTCCCCGCTGGCCAAGAAAAAACTTTTGTCCCAGGTCAGCGGAGCCAGCCTCTCCACCAGTTACCCCTATGGCTCCCCGCCCCCTTTGATCAGCAAAAAGAAACTGATTGCAAGGGATGACCGGTGCTCGAGTTTGTCCCAGGCCCATCATGGCCAAAGCACTGACCACATGGCAGTCAACCGGCCGTCGGTGATCCAGCACGTCCAGAGTTTCAGAAGCAAGCCCTCAGAGGAGAGGAAGGGCATCAGTGACATTTTTAAGCATGACAAACTAAGTCGATCGGAGCCCCACCGCTGCAGCTTCTCCAAGCATCACCTTAGCCCCTTGGCCGACTCCTATGTCCTAAAGCAAGAAATACAGGAGGGCAAGGAGAAACTGTTGGAGAAAAGGGCGCTTCCCCACTCGCACATGCCTAGCTTCCTGGCCGATTTCTACTCGTCTCCTCACCTCCACAGCCTCTATAGGCACACGGAACACCATCTGCACAGTGAACAGACATCCAAGCACCCCTGCAGGGACATGTACAGGGAAGCGGAAAACAGTTCTTTTCCTTCCCACAAACACCAAGAGAAGCTCCACGTGAATTACCTGGCGTCTCTGCATCTGCAAGACAAAAAGTCGGCTGCGGCGGAAGCCCCCACAGACGATCAGCCGACGGATCTGAGCCTTCCCAAGAACCCCCACAAACCCACCGGCAAGGCCCTGGGCCTGGCGCACTCAGCGCCTGGACCCCAGGACAGCAAGAGCACCTCCCAGTTCCAGGTCATAAATAGCCAGAGTCGAGACTGTCACCCCAAGGCCTGTCGGGTATCGCCTATGACCATGTCGGCCCCTAAAAAATACCCTGAATCGCTTTCCAGGTCGGGAAAGCCTCACCCTGTGAGACTGGAGAATTTCAGGAAGATGGACAGCATGGTCCACCCCATCCTCCACCGGAAAATGAGCCCTCAGCACATTGGCGCAGCGCGGCCCATCAAGCGCAGCCTGGAGGATTTGGACCTTGTAATCGCGGGGAAAAAGGCCCGGGCCGTGTCTCCCCTGGACCCCGCCAAGGAGGTCTCTGGGAAGGAGAAGGCCTCGGAGCAGGAGAGCGAAGGTGGCAAGGCCGCGCACAGTGGGCACTCTGGGGGCGCCTCGGAAAGCCACAAGCTGCCCCTCTCCTCCCCCATCTTCCCAGGTCTGTATTCTGGGAGCCTGTGTAGCTCGGGCCTTAACTCCAGGCTCCCGGCTGGGTACTCTCATTCTCTGCAGTACTTGAAAAACCAGGCTGTGCTCTCTCCACTCATGCAGCCCCTTGCTTTCCACTCGCTGGTGATGCAAAGAGGAATTTTTACATCACCGACAAATTCTCAGCAGCTATACAGACACCTGGCTGCAGCCACGCCCGTAGGAAGTTCATATGGGGACCTTTTGCACAACAGCATTTACCCTTTAGCTGCTATAAATCCTCAAGCCGCCTTCCCATCTTCTCAGCTGTCATCCGTACACCCCAGTACCAAACTGTAAGCCTGGCCCTGCCCAGCATCCCAAATGGCGACGTGGTTAACAGCGCTTCACTCCTGCACCTGGGGTGATGGCTTGGAGAATTAGAAGTCAGTATTTCTTCTAATCTGGGGGTGAGATCAGTCCTGGCCTAAGGGGCCCGGAGGGGAGGTGAACATACCTGGTATTTCTGGGATGATTCTAACCTTGGCTGGTCAATCTTGAGCCCCTTCCAACGCAGAGGCCCTCGCACCCTAGATGGGTCACTTAGCACGGGGGTCTTGTGAAGGGATTAACATGTATCCAGAAGAACTCAGTGGACTCAATCTGAGTTCTGATGGTCAGAAAACAATCTGGGCAAAAAAGGGTAGACATTTCAGAGGACGGGGCAAGGAAGACTGGCAAACATGCCAAGGGATGCCCCCTCTTCATAGAACTCTCCAAGGTTCAATCAATGCAATGTATAGTGAAGCTTCAATAGATCTTTCATTTTGACACTATTAAACAATCCAGAGAAATAAACACTGTTAAATTGACTGTATATATTTGCTTCTTAAAACTACCCATATCACTGTTTGCTCACCTAATTTATATACAGGTAGTCCTATTTTTCTCCCGGTTTCTTCTTGTCCTTTTTTTTTTTTTTTCTGTTTTTAATTAAACAGTATCGCTTTTATTTGCAGGTCTTTTATTTTGTTTTAAAGACTGACTGTCCCAGTTGTTGATGTGTGTTTGTAATTTTTCCACATCTTATTTTGAGCAGCTTTGGGTGGTAATGTTATTGTTTACAAATTGAAGCAACTGATTCTAGTGGAACAAATGAAAAAAGAAACAGTTGAGCATACAGCCGTGCAAAGAGCGTTCCTTTGCAAATCTGCAACTTAAGGATTTTGTTCCTCATAAATGTCTTAGTTGAAAGAGCTTATACACTGCTTGCTTACCCTGCCAAATGCTCTGCTTTGAAGTATTGGGTTATGTGAAAACATCGAGCATTGTACTTACCTTATCTAGGCTGTGAAACTGTCCTACATACCAGAGGAATCATAAAAACAAAAACCTCACTGGCAGCAAGCTGCTGAATAACAAGAGTCTAGAGGACATATTTGTGGGCTGCACAGATATTTTAGGAATTTCAGAAATTAGAACAGAAGCCAAAATGATTTACATTGGTGTTGGCAAAGATCCCTTTAAACAGTCTGGGAAAGGGGGTTGGGAAGAGGATGGAGCTTGACTATCCAGAAGAAAGTGAGCAGCGGGAGGCCCAGGTGCCAGATACCTGCCCTGGGCCACAGTCTTTCCAGTAATAGGTTGTCACATTGCCTCATCAGGTTGGTTTCTTGCTATTCCCAAGAAGAACCTCACAGGCCACATCTTTGGGGGTAACTGGCATCCTGGATTACTCATTTCACAAGCAAGCCATCTTCCTTGGGTTAATGGGGTGTGAGATTTGTATGTATGCACACAGCGTTTTGTGCCATGTTGTTAACCACCTGGCAATACAGTCCACTGAATGATTTCCTTTATTGTTGGAAAGAAATGGTTAAGCTGTTCACGCAGTCAAAAGATGTAAAGAATGTATATTGTCATTCTTGCCACTTTATCCTATAGGCTGACAAGATGTAACATCAAGGTGGATGCATTTTTCTAAGTGTGTTAAAAGTCTATCGACACAGAGTGGACTTTCCTTCCAGGTCGCAAGCCCCGCTAAGACTGCTTTGATGAACTCCCCAGCCAACACTCCCCTGCCCCAAAACGACTGGTAGACATTAGAACCATAGTTATCCAAGTCTTTTACCTCTGAGATATTTAATTCTATGAAAATTGATGATAATTTTCAACTTCTAAATAGGTAACTCGATTACAAAATAATCAAAACTGGTAAACAATGAAACTGTGGCTCTTAAACCAAGCCATGCATGCCGTGCATTTGTATTGAAATGTCTCTATGATACGAAGCCAAATATTCAATGTAACATACTTAATATCCAAAGGTGGAAACAAAAGAATGTAGAGATCTAGTGTTAAGAGTTCCATTTGCTTCAATTAATTATTTACCTTCCTGTGGAATAATATATACATATATATATATATTTAATAGAACCATAGATAGACTAGTAGAATTTAGATTATAAATGTGTGAATGCAGATTATCCTGCTATTGCACAAGATAGAGTGGGGGAAAAAAAATCTCAATTGCAGCTGGCAAAATGCTGGCTAGAACATATATAAGAAAGTTGCACTAGACTGAGTGGTCACAGAATCAGAGGCCATGGAAGAAGGGGGAAACTCCAGTGTTTCTGCAGCTGACATGGACTGGATCCTACATGGTGTCTATGAGCTTGTTTCTCAAAACCGGGGCATGTGGCCCCGGTGGAGCTCACCTATCTGTTCTGAAGAGGGGGCATTTGTTTTCCCCACTGCAATGATTTCAGTCTGGTTTCATCATGTTGGAATTTGATCACACCGTTTTCAAACAATGTTAACATAGTCCAGCTTTTGTTTTTCTCATCTCTTCCGAGAGGAGACTCACTGTTTCTGTCTGAGGAAGCTCATACCCTCGGCAAAACATCAGGACAAGTACAGAGACATGAGGGTATACATTCCCAACAGAAGCAGTGTGTTATTTGTTTTAAAACTCTGAACAGAGATCTTGGAAATCTTTCAAAAAGACCATTGAATTCTTCATTGGCTGAGAACTACATTTTAAAAAGTCTTAAATAGGGCTTTGTTTGCATTGTTTGAGTTCAAGGGGCCTTATTATTGAATGGCATTGCACAAGCCTTTCTTTGTGCAATCAAACCATTGTTATTGGTAGTTCTGTAAAGGAAACTGTGGAATCTAATTGGCAGCGGAGTCATAAATCTATTTACTAAGTGTGGCTTCCAAGAAATGTTGCAATTCAAAATGCACTAAGACCCTGATTTACTGGAGATTTGGAGATTCTAAATAATATTTTTTAAAAACCTTTCCGTGCAACTTCTGGTTTAGCTTTTGGCAACTCAACATTAAAGAAAAAAACAGCCCAACCAAGTTTCAGAATTAAGTATTCTCCTAGTAAGTGATTGGAACTTGTAATATTTGCCACAGGACTGACTTATTTATTTACTAGCTAGAGGCTCTTAAGTTCACTTGTTTATCAGGGCATATACAGAAGGGTTTGTTAAAACTCGACATTGACTTTACAACTTTCTGACCTGGTGCATGAATTCTCAAGTACTGTATTTCACTGTGTTGGTGTGTCTGATGGAAATTTCAAGGTGATCCCACAAAAATATTTTATGTAGTGTGCCTTCAAAGAGAACTTTTATTTCTCTTCACTTGTTGTCCCACAAAGTCACATTTGGTGGTGGTCAGCCAAGTCCCATCTGGTCTAGTTTTACTCTTGTCCCAATTTTAAAGAAAAATGGGAACAAGTCTGCCCTGGTGAGACCCACACCATTGCAATGATTATCTTGAGCACTTAAATTCCAGTGTTGGCTGTTGGTGTATTTGATATTCTGCTTGTCTCCCCATGGTTGAAATATGTCTGAAGAATAGCAGCATAATCTCTTGGCTGTTTATACTTTTTTAAACTTTCCTGTGTTGTAAATATTGTATACTTTTGGTGATTCCAGCTATGTAACCTCTATGCTCTGTAAGGTGATTATTTGTATATAGCAACATGGCCCAGTGATATTATATAGTTTCCCAATGGAGAGGTTATTGAGTAACCTTTGCATTAGTTTAAACACTACCAGAAAAATGCTGAGCCAACTATAAACACTCAATTTTGTATGTTTTCCAAATTGTACTTATTACTGCTTTTGATACTGTATTACGTGCCAATAGTTTCCCAATCACATAGCAGGCAAGAGATATTTTGTACTTTTTGATCCACTGTAATATTTAATAAAAAATGTTACTATCTGTTTCCTTTTGGGTGTAATCTGTCACTTCCTCCTGAGGCGCCCTGTGGCCTCTGCCAGAGTACTTTCCTTCAGGCCGTCTTCAAATAGAATAATAACAATGATGTCTGTTTGTTGAGAACCTACTGGGTGCCAAATTGGCATATAATATCTTTACCCTTCACACCCTCATGTAAATATGGTTCTGCCCATTTTACTGATACAAAGACTGAAGCTTAGACTGCTAAATTAACTTTCCGAAGATCATCTGGCTAACAAATTGGCAGAGCTGCGACATGAACCCAGGGCTCTTAAATCGACAGCTTCTTCTATAATATACCACGTTCTTCTCCTGGCAGGTAACAAAAGTGACTACTTACTTACTTGGTCAACAAAAATTGATTCCTGTCTCAACTGCCAGGCATATTGTTAGGAGCTGGGGTTACAATTTTGAGTAGAAGATAAAATATACCATCTCTGGAGCTTATAAGACTAATGGGAAAGAGAGTTAATCGAATAGTCACCCACATAAATATAAAACCTCAAGCTGACCTAGTCACAAGGGAGAGGAGTGTGATTACTAAACTGATACATGAAGAATGAGTGTGAGTTGAGATGAGAGGGAATTAGGAGAAGAGTTCTCCAAGCACAAGGTACCACATGTACAAAGGCCCAAAGACAGGAACAAATTATAGGAGCATAAAAGCCTGTGTGGCAGGAGCATAATAATAAGGAATGAAGTTGAGGTGAGGTTAGAAAGTATAGCAGGGGTCACCCAGATAGATCCTAAGAGACCAGGTTGAGCATTTGGTCTTTATACTGAACAAGAAGTTTACGTGGAGAGAGGATACATTCAGATTTGTCTTTTTCAATGCCACTCTCTGGTACTGTGTGAACACAGAGCAATCTAAATCCAAGATGGTGGTCATTTCAGTTGTGTTGGTAGAATGGGGGAAGGTTGGATACGTTTCAGAGGTACTTGGAAGGAGGGAAGGACAGCCTTGATGATGGATTAACTGGAACAACTGATGGACATTTGGGGTTGAAAAACCAGGAAAATGGCATTTTTCTGGTGTCTAGTGATGATGGACAAAGACTTCTCTTCTCTCACCCTGAGTCCTCTCCAGCCAAGCTTTCCCCTGGTTCTGCCCAGCTTATTATTAGTTGAAGTGCCACATTGGAAAAGTAGCATGCTGTGTGCTCCCTTCTTAATGGGTCCCAGGGGACAGGGTGGACAGACTTTGGTGACTGTCTTCGTTTACAACCTGTACCATCGGGTCAGGGTGGACTTCGAACAGATAGGATAGACTAAACTGCTAACAATCATGCTATCACAACTCTAGGAGAAAAGCCAAGAATACATTTTGATAAAAGACCTAGGACCCTTTCTTTTATCATGGTTGACTCCCTGGAGGATCCTGCCCACCCCTCTCACACCAGCAGGACTTACAGCAACATGTGAGGGCCCTTATCCCTTCAATAACCCAAACATGCCAAACATAAAATGAAGCCTCAGCCCCATGGTCTCCTCACCCTCATTCCAATTCATCTATATTTCACCATACTATATGAATTGTTAGGAGTATATCAAAAGAATGTTCTTCCATCTATGATACATTCAGCAATTAAAGCTCAGATACTTGAATCATAAAACAGGAAACCTCATGATAGGTTATCTATTTTTACCAGGCCTGGCTAATACTGTTGGGAAGGAGGGTGCTTTTGCTAAAGATGTCACTCATGGTGAAAAAGCAATAAAACTGCCCAATGATTTTTTCTAGGAAAATGGCCAAAGTTGACAAATGTTTTAGGGCTGATAGTGACCAGGAAATAGGTCATTATTTACATCAACAAGTACATCAGTGGCAGGAGGTTGGAGTGGGGTGAGAGGTGGCCTCTGGCCAGAAATAATGCAAAAAAAAAAAGTATAGCTTTCAAGGTTGACTTAGAGAGTAAATAACACCAACTTGGGTCCACTAATAGAGAATTCCTGAATTTTGGAATCTCCAGCTATTCCTGATATGACATTCCAAAGCATTTGTTTAACCTGCTTAAACAAACAAACAATTTTAATCATTATAGCCATAACCATAGGCATTCCCAACCTTGTAAAAGCAAGGTTATCTGCTCCCTGAGGGATCCACACAAGAATAACTACTACTTTATTATTGTTGAAACTTTCTCTGGAATATAGCTGTCCTATGGTACTTCTTAGGATGGCAGAAATATTCTATAATTCAGAGCTTTCCAATACTATAGCTACTAGCCAAAATGGTTGAAGTCTTTTCATGTGCCCAGTGTGACGGAGGAACTGATTCTATAATGCTACTTTATATTCACTTAAAAATTTAAATAGCCACATGTGGCTAGTAGGTACTATAACAGCACAGCCCTAGAAGGTACAATTGGCCAGTGGGCACGCATTAATGCAAACACAATTAGAGATGGGATAAAATCTGCAAATAAATCTTAACATAGACACTAAAGCAGGCAACACTATCTCTTATGGGCAAAACTTTGTTAATCCATTGAGGGGGTGACTATAGATTTAACACTATTTTTCACTCAGGATACACACATCACAAGCATCTAAGTACTTACTAAATGAACAAACAAATCATTGGGAGAGTATGTACCAATAAAATAAACAACCTAGAAGAAATGGACAAATTCTTAGGAAGGTTCAACACCAAGAAAGAACTAGAAAATGGGAACAGACCAATCACAAGTACTGAAATTGGAGCAGTGATTATGGAGGGGAGACAGGATGGCAGACCAATAGATAGTAGAGGCCATCTTATCCCACAAAAACACTGAAAATACATCTACCAGTGCAATGATTCACACAAAACATCTACTGAACTTCAACAGAGGATCTCAGACTTTGGAAAGAACAAGAAAACCTCCATGTAACCTGGTGCAACAAATAAAACAAGAGAAAGAAGGAATCAGGACAGGGCTTGTGCATCAGGGAGGGAGCTGTGAAGGAGGAAAGGTTCCCCGGGAAGTCTGCTGTTTGGTGGGGAGATCAGTTTGGACAGAGAGGAGCTTCGAGCCCAGGAGGAGAGTGCAGCAAGCAGTCTGCAGAAGGTAAAACTGGACAACTGCCCCAAAAGGCGGGCACTGCCCTGCGCTCCCCAGGCTGTGCTCTCTAGTCCACTGGAGGTTGCCACTTTGGCCCTACCAAACAGCCTATAGGCTCCAGTGCTGAAATGCCTCAGGCCAACCAGCCAACATGATAGAAAAACAGCCACACCCATCAGCAAACAGGGTGCCTAAAGCCACACTGAGAGAAGGAAACATATACCCATTTGAAGGCAGAGTCCCAAAGAATAGCAAGGAGAGATAAGAAAACCTTCCTCAGTGATCAATGCAAAGAAATAGAGGAGAACAATAGAATGGGAAAGACTAGAGATCTCTTCAAGAAAATTAAGCAGGTCAGGAAGCAACAGTTAGAACTGGACATGGAACAACAGACTGGTTTGAAATTGGGAAAGGAGTACGCCAAGGCTGTATACTGTCACCCTGCTTATTTAACTCATATGCAAAGTACGCTATAAGAAAAACTGGGCTGGATGAAGCACAAGCTGCAATCAAGATTGCTGGGAGAAATATAAACAACCTCAGATATGCAGATGACACTACCTTTATGGCGGAAAATGAAAAACTAAACAGCCTCTTGATGAAAGTGAAAGAGGAGAGTTAAAAAGTTGGCATAAAGCTCAACATTCAGAAAACTAAAATCATGGCATCTGGTCCCATCACTTCATGGCAAATAGATGGGGAAAGAGTGGAAACAGTGTTGGACTTTATTTTGGGGGCTCCAAAATCACTGCCGATAGTGATTGCAGCCATGAAATGGAAAGATGCTTGCTCCTTGGAAGGAAAGTTATGACCAACCTAGAGAGCATATTAAAAAGCAGAGACATTACTTTGCCAACAAAGGTCCGTCTAGTCAAGGCTCTGGTTTTTCCAGTGGTCGTGTATGGATGTGAGAGTTGGACTATGAAGAAAGCTGAGCGCCGAAGAATTGATGCTTTTGAACTGTGCTGTGGAGAAGACTCTTGAGAGTCCTTTAGACTGTAAGGAGATCCAACCAGTCCATCCTAAAGGAAATAAGTCCTGAATATTCATTGGAAGGACTGATGCTGAAGCTGAAGCTCCAATACTTTGGCCACCTGACGCAAATAACCGACTCATTGGAAAAAACCATGATGCTGGGAAAGATTGAAGGTGGGAGAAGAAGGGGATGACAGAGGATGAGATGGTTGGATGGCATCACCAACTCAAAGGACAGTAGTTTATGGAAGCTCCAGGAGTTGGTGGTGGACAGTGAGGCCTGGCGTGCTGCAGTCCATGAGGTTGCAAATGGTTGGATACGACCAGAGACTGAACTGAACTGAAAGCCACACTGAGCTCACAGACACCTATAAACACACTGCTTGCCACAGGGACAAGACCCAGCTCCACCCACCAGTGGGAAGGTACCAGTGCCACTTCCCAGGAAGTCTGTACCAGTCTCAGGGTCAATATGATCCAGCCAAGGGCATACACCAGAAGCAAGAGGAGTTATTACAATCCTCTAGTCTGCAGAAAGGAGACGACAGACACAGAAATTTACACAAAGTGAGATGGTGGTGAAATATATTCCAGATGAAGAATAAGAGAAAAGCCCACAGGAGCAACTAAGTGAAGTGGAACCTACCTGAAAAAGAATTGAGAGTCATGATAATAAAGATGATCCAGGATATCAGAAAAAGAATGAAGGTACAGGGATTTTCCTGGTGATCCAATGGTTAAGAATCCCCCCTCCAATGCAGAAGGTGCCAGTCTGATTCCTGGTTGGAGAACCCACATCCCACATGCCACAGGGCATCTAAGCCCACACACCACAACTACTGAGCCAGCAGCTGCAGCTCCTGGGACAGCAAACTCTGGAACCTGGGTACCACAACTAGATAGAAGTCCATGCATCGCAACCAAGAGCCCACAGGCCTCAACAAAGATGCTGAATGCTGCAAATAAG